TTATAATACGGTGTTGACCTTTAATATTCACTATGCATTTATTACCCGTCAACGAAAAAACGTTATGATGTGACAATCGGTTTTTTTTTTCTTTTGAAAATTCTTTCGATTTCACCTATAGTTCGATGTGTTTATAACAATATACGCGAATCGAGTCGCTGTTGGGAATTTTTTTCCGCGCGGTGTACTTGCCCAACGCATGCACCGATTCAACTTTGAATCTACGTTGGCAATTTTAAAAATTAACACGCTATGCTCTGTATACGATTAATACATACTTTACGCAATAGCGTGGGGTTAGCGTGGCTTATGATTTATCTTATAAATATGTACAGCAGGTACTCGATCCAATCCAACTATAATATATTAAAAAAAAAAACGAAAATATCACGCCGAAACGGCTCGAAGAATTTAAACGAATTTCGGCACACAGTTTTTATGTTGGAGCGTATCCTACGGAACAGAACATAATACAATATAAGTAAGTTTATTTTCATCCCGCAAGTCAACGCCTGTAAATAAGGGTTCACAACTGAACTGTCGCAATCTTTAACTGCAATTGTATAACTTTGTTTCGTTGATGTCTGGTTTCTGTTGGTTACTATAGCTTTATTGTAATACTATTTTCAATTGTTTTTCCCTACTCCTTATACCTCATTGCATAAAATGAGTATCCACTTTGTATTTTTAAATTGTAACCCTCCCCCCCCCCCTTTCAATCAAAGATTCACATAGAAAAATTTATTCCAACGGATTTCTACGTTGAAATAACATCAAATTTGTATGCAATTTGATAATTGAAATGTTTTCAGACCCACGTCATGATATACACACACATATATATTTATACGCACGTTTGTCATACATTTTTTTTTTCACATTTTTACGATGAAATGTCTTCACCTTAACATTTTACTACTTGTTCTACTACCGTAGTACGCGTGGTATACACATTATTTAATTTATTTCAATTCAAATGAATCACAAAACGGTATAAAACGTTCACTTGCAATTAATTGCAATTTGCATATATTCTTGTTGCTGCAAAATCGATATATTCACAATCCAATCTAATACACCATACGAACAAACGGTTTAACGAGCTAATAGTGTAATATAATACAATGACGGCCAATTCGCAACGATTAAATTGGTAGAATTAAATTCAGTGTTCTAACCGCGTTGGCGGCGGTTCGGGCGGTCTCGTTTTTTTTTTTATCAGTGTCTTGATATCTGCTTGTTACCACGCTCGATCAACCGCACTGAGACCGCGTTGTACGTGCACGATACGAAGAAGATTTTCACTAACACGGAACAAACACTCGGAATCTTGTATATCTATATGTACGATTTCACGTCAATGTTTTTGAACGACACTGGCGTGTTCGTTCGGTACATTTACCGCATTTTCGTCCAACACGTATGCCGTATAAATGACGTTTATTGATTCGCCGCTTCCCCCTCCCCCCTCCCCCAGCCATTCACCCGGAAACCCGGAATAAGAGCCCGGAGCGTCGCATCATCTACCGTCGGAATTCATATTATAAGTACGGGTACGCGTGATACTCCGCGAACGCGCCGGTGTAACCCGGTTTTCGGACATCGCGCACAACGCGTTGTAACGTTTTTATTTTATCGCGGCAAATCTTCGGCGGCGTTTCCCCGGGGAATCGCTCCGCGTCCGTGTCCGCGTGAAAACAGTCGCCGGTCTTACGCGCGTTACCGGAAAGCGCGGTGAGTAATCAACGCGCTTACCAAGACTGGCTGCACGTATACACCAACGTGTGCCGCGACTGGTGAGAATACGGCCGCGAAATTATCGCGAATAAGTTTTAAAAAAAAACGCGCGGAACGTTTACATAACACTGCAACGTTTAATTTCCATACCAATCGCCATCTTGCGCAGCCATCGACGTTGATAAATCATTCAATTACCGTCCGATCCGAATCGATTAAAAATAATTTCTCAACCGGAATATCGTACGCGTGCGTATCCACGTATACGGGTTTAGAATTTATAAAAAATCCGCACAGGTAATTTTCGTTATTATTATTTGTAAAAGCCACCGATTCGAAGGCGCGTTTCGGAAATAATTATTTATGCGAAAATTATCTGCCCGATATTCGTATTATGCAAACGGGCTATAAAACAATCGTTTATAGACGGGTTAAAAATTGCGCTTATCATTAACGTAAATACGTTTACAATAAGTCATACACTTATGCTACTCGTCTCGCTGCATGATATGACGCACTACAGTGGTGCCACACGCATATGCGCGCACATTGCCGTACCGTAAATCCGTTTGGTCGTAAAGCGGACAAACGAGAAAACTTTTTTCCCTGCGGTTGCCTATATTGTAACCCCTTAAAACCGTGTAGTTTTTTTTTCTTTCTTCCGAATCCCCTTAAATTTATGCGGATATACTTCACAGCGTTCACGCGAAACTTTCCGGCGTGTACATAATATAAAGTCACCCCGGGACGCGCAACAAAACGATTAGCGATACACAATGCCGCGATAATATATTATTGCGCCCGTAAATTATATGATTGTTTTGCACGCGACGACGTTGCCGTTATTCGAATATCGTTTTGCGCGAAATTAACAAAAAACGCGCGGGTAGGTACGTTGCAGCTGTTGTACTAGCCGCCCCGCCCGGCGTGGCCAAAAGGAGTAATATTAATTAAACATGGTTTATTTTTCCCATAACTTTTTGTTCCTTTTAATTTCATCCGTATCACCGAGGTAACCTATAAATCAACAAGAAAAAAAAAAAAAAATTGGATTTTCGTATCGAAAATATCAATGACCGTGCAGTATCAGTCCCCCTACCCCTTTAGCCGTTAAATACGATTTATTAGTGACCTGTATGTTATTAACGGTCTAGAACTTTATCTATGCAAAGTTTAAGTTCAATCCATTCGGTAGTTGTCGCGTGAAAGGGTAACAAATTGAAATATCCGTCTAACCATCCATGCGGATCAAACGAACTTTCGGATTTACAATATAAGTAGAAAACATAAAGCTCGTTTTATTGTTCTTATACAATTATAATTTTGATAACATTTCACGTCACCTGACCGACCCACCAAATCCAAAGACTTACAAAGGAAAAAACATCTATACCAATTTTGCAAGGGCGGATCCCAAACACCTTCACAGTGCACGGGAGTGGGCCAAAACTGACCAAATAGTAAAAATATATAGCATTTAAAATCAAACTAATCGAACTAGTGGAATAGTTGTTTTTCGATAATTATATACCTACCATAAGTGTCTCACCCGGTTGTTCCCGTGCAATAAAAAAGTTTTCCCCGTGTCCACCTAATAATAAATATTTCTTGTTGTTGTCTTATTCGAATCACAGTGTAATTGTACGCCCCCTCCCGTATTAAACTTTCTAGTAACACGTATCTTACCAATACTAGATGTTACATAGTCGTTAGTTTCAATTTAGATACACAACAATAATAATAAAAATTACGAAAAATAAAAAAAATGCAAAAAACGGACATGCTGTACAGAGTATTCGCCGCCGGGTATCGAGAACCCGAGACCTTTTAACCAACCTACTTAACTGCCTAACGCCTTAACCACTAGACTATCTATATATAATACTTTCAATTCGTTAAAATTGGCCTCATTCGATTGTTTGCGTCCCTATTTGAAAAACAGAAACGACGCCCTTTCAAACCTTTTTCGTTTAAACCGTTTTGGCGATTAACCGACTGCAGGTGGCAAACGTCCGTAGAAAAATAGCGCGGCAAACTGAAAATCGCGTTGCCGAAAAGCGCGCGTAATATTATGAGCGCTCGTTTCGGAAATATCGCCCCGAGACGAGCGGCGAGAGAACGGACGGCCAGAGACTTCGCGCCAACAACGTATGCAAATTGTAAATTTTTAAAGTCGCGGTTACGACACCGTGCTAATCGATTTATCAAACCGAGGGCCCCCGTTCACACGGACGGCTAAGTCGTCGGCTATTGATCGCGTAAATTGTTGCCAGCAGCTATCTCCGTGGCGATTTACGATCGTCATTTAGTGAACGCCCTGATAACTTTGCGTAGTCGCTATTGTATCTCGAAGATAAAAAAAATAAAAAAAATGGACATACTTCGCACGTGTGTGCAGCCACTGTTGCAAAAAAGATAAAAATAACAAAACTTATAATAATAACAAAAAATAAATAAATGCCAATAGACAACCTTATTTTCAATATTTTTAACCTAAAAAACCAGGTTTTCCTCGTTATTTTTAATTTAAATGAGAATTTTAAAAAATGACCTTTTTAAAGTACTACTCAGAAAATATTTCTTTCAGAAAAGATGCAGCTATACTTGATAATCGGAGTAAGCTTTCTGGTTAAAAAAGTGTTCACATAAAAAAAAAATAAACACCATTGTAAAACCAATATATTTCTCGCTCCACTCAGAATTTAAAACAAATAAAAAGATCGCTAACGAAAAATGATTCCGAGCGGAGTTCTGTTATACGTATTACTTACCTTATCTTAAGAATGAAATATTTAAAAAAAAGACATGTTGAAACCATACCATGCGCAGTTATTAAATCAATTTTAGAACTTGATAAAATATTAACTTTTCTAAGTATATTCTCCACAAAATTAATAAAAACTAAATTTAAAATTCATTATTTGAAAAAGTAATCCTTGTGCTTCTGAAATGGTTTTTAGTTTTATATTGAGAAGTTCTCCATCTGAAATTCGTTTTAATGAGATAACAATTGCTGGCAAGTTTATGTATACTGAGTATACTGCACGTTTGTGACTTGCCCATTTTGTCTCTGAAAGTTGTTTTAATGTTAGTACTAGGCCATCAATTTTCTTTTGTTTTTCTTCAAATATTTTTAGTCTTGGTAAACTACTAGTTATAAATATATACAATGTCTCAAGAATACCAAAAAATGAAAATGCATTAATGGACGGTCTAACAGAATCTATAAGCACCAAATTTAAATTATGAGAACAAAAATGAATTTATAGTGCTAATGGTGATATATCTTTTATTTTAGATTGCTGGCCAAAAAACCGCCCTGACATGGTATTAGCACCATCATAGGCTTGACTACGGCATAAAGAAATATCCGATTCATATTCTCCCATAAACTTTTTTATAATGACAAAGTAATCATTTGCAGTTGTATTATGTAGTTCTTCAAAACACAGAGAATGTTCTTTGATATCTCCTTGTTGATCTACAAACCTCAAGCTAAAAGAAAATTGATTAATTCTTTCAATATGTATTGTCGAATCTACAATAATTGTAAATATTTTGCTTGTTTTACTCCATTTAATGTTGTATGTAATGTTTCATCTGCCATACATTTAAGTGTATCATTTTGAATTTTCGGACTCAAGTATGTCTCATTTCGGTTTGACTCGGCCAAGTGTTTGGCTAGAAAAGCATCATATTTTGACACAAGTTTAACTATTTCAATAAAAAGTCCTTTGTTTTGTGTATCCTGGTTAATGACCTCTCTGTGTCCTTGAAATGGAAGAAAATTTGTTGAAAGGAATAAAGATATATCAATTAATCGTTTTAACACACTTCGATTAAATTCTATTTGAGACTTTTTAACTTTAATTGAATTTTGTTGGATAGCAACGTTTTTTGAAATTATACTTTTTAAAATCAAATATTCATTTTCTGCTTCTCTGTGGACCTTGGATTTTTCATGTTTAATAACTTTTTCATATCCTTTACGGAAATTAGAAACACCTTTATTAGGATTGGACCATTAATAACTATGCTGAGATACAGATCGAAACAAAAAGCAAGGAAAACAAAACATTTTGTTGGCTTTTGGCGAATATACTAACCAATTTGTTTTACAGTTGATTTCTGATTTAACATCTTTGTTATACCAGTTGGAAGATAGTTTTTTGCCGGACACATTTTCTTCAAAAAACATAATCAAACATATTATTAAAACCAGGTTGACAAGGCCCTATGCCAACAAGAGTTGTGATTATTCGACGTGTTAATACAGTATCAATAAATAAATATGGATCTGACGGATAACCATGGCATCTGTCGATTAACTTTGGGTATGAAACATCATTTCGGGCAAGTTCGATTTGTTTGTCCGTACCAAGAGTTGGTGGATTGTCTTCATCTTCGCTACAATTATATTCCAAACGTGATGTTCTCGACCGACGTTCGGTTTCGGCGATGACAGTATACTCCGATTGCCTTTGACTAATCGCCGCCGGACGGTCGGATTTGTTTTTTTTTTTCTCGGTCAGGAGCTCCCGTCGTCAATGATAAATTTGACGAAAACGCGGCGAGACGGTAGCAGCGAGCAGAACGAACGCAGACGCTCGTCGACCAAAAATCGGTAAAACAGTTGCGCGGAACGCGCTACACACGTTCGTGCGCAATATTCACGTTACAGTACGTCGATAACGACCGGCGGCCCGCGTAGTGCTCATAAATGCGTATTATCGGACACCGGACGACGGTGCGCGACGGCCGACGGGTTCCGCTGACAATACCGACGAGAAAGCCCGTAAATAGAAAATGGATTTCGCGTAAACGTGCGATAAACGCGTTTCCGCGAAACGACAGCGTCGACCGGCGGGGTGCTCGGTGCGGCCGGGCGCACGTCTCGCGAACGCGGCCGCGCGGCGCGTTTTTCGATTCGGGTGAATCGTTGACGCGCGCCGGCCGTGCGTGCCCGACGCCCGGTCTTCGGCGCCCCTCCGCGCGCCGAAACGTTTTACCGATGTGTTTATAAACTTATTAATTACGTTTTCGCGGAAACGCTCTTGGCGGGTGGGCGGGTGGGTGGGGGGGGAAGGCCCGCGTACGTTTCGTAGATTACCCGCGACGCCCGTATTGTTATTATTCGATATTATTTCCATTCCGGCCGTTGCAGCGTCGCGCGTGTTTACGCGGTCGGGTCGTTTTACAGGGGCCGCGTTTTACCGAGAAAAATACCGCGGGGTCGGCCGACCCCCCCCCCCGAACGCCCCCTCCGCCGCGGGACCGCCACCGGTCCGTCGCGGCACACGGTAAAAATAACTGGCCAATACCGGCGCGCGACGTGCGCCGTCCGTCCGCAGTTACGGACATTCGGCGTTATCAATTATTGTTGAAAATAAACCGATCGGTTACGGCCGGGGGAGGGGGGGGGCGGCGTTTACGCCCGTCGAAATAAAATTCGATCGTAATGGCGTTGTTTGCAGCTGACGTTGTCTGAAGGATACCGACAAACGGCTAGAGCGCGCGGCGAGGAATTAAATGGTACGTTTCGTTTTCACCGTCGTGCATTCGCCGCGAATGAAACTATTCGCGTTATCAAACGATAATTTGACGAAAACAAACGGCGAATTGTTGGAATATCGCAATCCAAAAATATAGACTGCGTGAAAAGTTCTTGGTAATTTATTCGAGACTTAAAACCCACATATTTAGTTTTATATTACAGTTGATTTCTGAAATTAATCCTCTACCCATATTTTCTAAGATACTGATTATATCGAGGGATCTATTGGCGGCTTTTCTCCTAGAAATTTCGCTCCACAAAAGACCTTTTTCGTTGCATTTTGGCTCTTTTTGGTCATTTTTTCTGCTCGTCCCGTCTCGTTAATATTCGAGACGGCGAGGAAAAACTGGTTATTGGGGCTAAAAAAGATTTAAAAGTTTAAAAGTAAGATTGCGTCTTTGGCAACCGTTTTTATCTATATTTTATTATGATTAGGTTTTCATTATTTTAATCTTTTAATATTTTTTAATCTTGTTATCGTGAAAATCATCGAGTTAAAAAAAAAACACACACAAAAAATCGAGGTTAATGTATTATTTTTTTTAACAAGAATTTTAGTATAAAATTTAACGAAAATCGTTATAATAAAAAATGACGTGGAACAAATCTCTAGTCCGTACGAATCGTTTAAATATATACTATATTTGTTTTACTATAATATTGCATACGCGTTGTTGAAAAATCAATACTATTGACCGAGTTCCGTTCAGAATCGTTTTATGTTACCAATGATTAATCGTCGCGTACCTGCATGAATCACATTTCCCTCTGAATCCTACCTTCCCAACCGCTCACCCACAGTGGTCCACCCGCGGTGCGAAGTAGCCCGTCTGTTTTTCCATTCTTTTATTTAAAAATAATTAGCTAACCCGGCAATGCTCTGCTATTGCTAGATAATAGTGCAAATAATAGTAATAATAACAATAGTTTTCTTGTCCGTGACAACCATCAGATTGTCATCCATACCACGTCACCGAGGTAATCCACGAACAGACAATAGTAAATAAATAATCGATTGGATGTTCGTATTATCGAAAACGCTTAAGCCGCCCCCCCCCAACCGCCGTTTTACACCCTTTGACGTTTGAATATTCAAAAATCCTTTCTCAGCTGATGTCCACGTCATTATCGGACGCCACCGGCAGAGTTACGGCAGTAACTAGCAGTGTTGCTGTCGTAACGCGATAATTCGATAATTCATATCGAAAACAAACGCATTTTTACGGGGTTTTACAGGGGCGTTACGGCCATAAATCGTTGGCGCTACCGCGATACCGAACAATCATACCGAAATCGAATGTCATAAACCGTCGGCGTTGCGATCGGATTACGGTACGCGAAACGGGTACCTAATAACAACAATGGCAATAACAATAATTATAATATTATTGTTACGGTATTAAATTGTTATTATAATTATTATTGAAACACCCGTATACGTATGTATCAATAAAACGTATAAACGCGCAATTGTGCGCGACACCTCCCCGGGAACCGTTCACCCCGCCCAAGGTCGCCGCCGGTGCGGCTGTCGTCGGCGATCGGCCGGTATCGGAGGCGCCTCCGGCCGCCGCGCCTCCGCCGCCACCCCGCGCCGCCGACGACGGCCCGTCCGATTTCGCAAAACGTCGCCGCCCGTCGAAACTGGTTCGCCGCCGCCACCTCGCGTAGTGCACGCGCGCGCGCGCCCATTCAGTACCGCCGACACACCGGTCACGATCGCACACGCGTCGTTTGCGCTCCACCCGTCTCCCTGGCCGGCCGTACGCGCACACGCACCGCACGAACGCGATATATTTTCGAGACGGAAAAAAAAAACAAAAAAAATTATAATAATAATTTGATAAAAACAAATCGCAGTGCGTTTCGTCCGTCGCCGTTTCCGCGTGGGAAACGGATTAACGCGCTATCCGAATAGCACGTCCGATACGAATAATATTATTATTGGGTTTCGCGCTCGATTTTTACGAGTCCGGTGCGATAACGTATCGTCGTATTGATATAAAATTGATTAAAAAAAAACAATATTAACGAAAATGCGTCTCGACCGCGAGGACACGACACGCGACGGCTTCCGATAAACGCACGCGACGACAGTATTGTAAAAATATCGTAATTACCGCGCGTTGTTGCGGCGGCGTGACCGCCGCGCTGTTGTGACGGCAAAGGAGAAAGTGCGTCGTCGCCGTCTCGCGTTGTTGTATGTGCGCCGGCGGGCAGCGGCGGTCGGACCCATGTCCCGAGTCCTGATCCCACGACGTACCAGCAGCCTCGGCTGCGTCGGCAACGATCGCGCCGGCGGCCGGCGCGGTTGCGGTCGCGGCCGCGGTGGTGGACGCATGAACAACGGCGGCGGCGGCGGACATTATGTCGTCGGACGATTATTGCCGGCGACGCGGTAGGCGCGTCGGCGCGGCGGGCGGCTCAGCGGCCGCAGCAGCGGCTGCGGCGGCGGCCGCTTCGGCAGCGACCACCGTGCGCGGCGGCGGAGACCAGCAGCAACAAGTGCCGCCGCAGTTCCCGTCCGTCTGTCGTCTCGTCGAAAAGTACACGATGCTCATCGAACGGCACCGGCAAAAACAGAACGGCCTGACTCCGTCGGCCCGCAGAAAACCGTCGGCGTCCGCCGCAGCCGGCGACAACGGTGCCGCGGCCGGCGGCACGGCCGCGGCGGTCCCGTCCGCTGTTGCCGCGGCCGCGGCCGCTTCCACTCTGGCGGTCGACGTGTCGTCCGACTATTCGTCGCTGTCCAAATCGGCCGGGCCGTCTAGCCCGGCGCTCAGCGACGACGCGGCCGCCTGGAACCGGCTGCTGATGGACGACGACGTCGTCGGCGGCGACGTCGACGACATGGACGACATAGACGATGACGACGACGGCGACGACGACGACGAGGACGACCCGTCCGACGACGCGGAACACTACAACCGGTTACACCGTCCGGGCAGGCGCCGCGAACGGCAGCGCGTGAAGCCGACCAGACACCGCGACGGCGACGTCGACGGCGGCGACGGTGGCGGCGGTGACGTCCGGCGGTTCAGTTGCGAATCGCTGGGCAGCATCATACCCGGTACGTGCACGCGCATAATATTATTATTGTAATAAGCATTGTGATCATAACGTCACCGTGCAGTCGGCATCGCCACTCTTTACACCACCTGTGCCCGCCCGCGGTTTCGCCGTGCACACGGCGACCGGAGGGGGATTTTAGACGCCGCGGTCACCACGTGTTCGCCGCCATCTCCTCCGCGTTACGCAACATCCGCGGAGCGCCATGCGTCTCGACCGGCCGGCCGACGACGCGCGCTTTTCAGTCGTCCGCGCCCGCCGCCGTCCCGAGATAATAACGCGGCGGGAACGCGCGCGTCGATCCCCACCGCCGCGTAATCCCCGACTATTGCCCTGGGCCCCGGTGTTTATTTATTTGTTGTTTTGTTTTTTTTTTTTCTCTCCGTGTTTTTCCGAAATCGTTATTCTCATTTCACACGCGTCGCGCGAACGTTGTCACCGTCCGCAATAAACGCGAGACGACGGCGACGACGACGACGACGTTAACGCACTACAACACACGACGATGGTAATCTGCGTTTGTCACTCATATAATACGCGTGCACGGTGACGATGACAACACACTCTTGTTCGCGCGTATTATCTACAGAGCGTTATTCGGTTACGCCCGTTTTCACCGCACACCTATATAATATTTAATGCTCGTACTGGTACGCGTTATTCATACTGTCGTTATTATTATTGTTATACAGAGTGCGCGACGTGATGGCGCGAAATAATCGGGGTCCGTCAAGCGTACGGTGGCGCGAGTCCACGCGACGTTGCTTGCGGTTCGGTTACGCCACCCGGGGATTCGTCATGATTCCGGAAATAGGTTCGGTCGGCCGAACCCGTCCTAATCTCGCGATCCTCCGGCGGCTTTGAGCGCCCCGGGGGTGGGAGGGGGAGGGGGGGAGGTTAATGCCATTTTCGGACGTTTTTGCGAATCGAACAATCGTCGTTAATATTTTAAAATCGCATTCTGCGCTGTCGACGTTTCCGTGATTACTGAACGTTGCCCGATGAATAAATTAAACGTCGTCGACGCCCCGCCGAATATCGGATTAAATGATATCACGCCATCGAACGGACACGATAAGAAACTGGTGGCCGTCGCACTCGGCCCTGTTTTACGGTGATATTTCGCGTTGAAAACGCCAAAAAACTGTTCAACACGGATGTGCAAATTACGTTCGCGATGATCCGGCGCCCGAGGGCAGTCGCCGCTCTTCACCACTTTGTCTGATCGCATCGCTGCCTCGCGCACGACGTGGGGGGGGGGAGGACTACGTTCGTACGAGTTTTCGGTAATCGGACGACGAAAAATTACCGGATTACGTTCGGTCAGGCCCGTGGCCAGATCAGTACTTTAGAGGGTGGGCCGAACCTCGGTTATAGACGGGGATTAAAAAAAAAAAAAACAATATTACGACTGTTTTAGATTCCGAGCGTGGCCACGGAGCTATCGGTGCCAGGTTGGTTAATTTTTTTTTTCTTCTCCTTCTTCTAATCCGCGGTAACGTTTTTTTTCCCAATAAACTTGCTCCGATTTTTACGCGTAGTGACCGTTCTGAAAGCTCGAGTTGTCTGGATGGTGCTTTATTTCCGACGCCGTTTTTTTTTTTTTTGAAAAAAAAGCACTGAAATGGAAACGATACCCGTTCGTTTGCACGTGCGGACGTATTTCTCTATTTTTCTCCTATTCCCGTGGCTAAAGGCCTCTACTAAGTATAATTATAGTTTATCGCATTGACGGACACAATGTAACAACAAGGCGAGTTCATTTTTTGAAATAGCTCTGGGGAAAAACAATGCTTTGAGTAAAAATATCTGTTTTCAATTTTCAAAACCTTTATTCATAGAACGTATACTGTGCTGTTGTTTTTTTTTTTAAACTAATCGTGGACCCAAATAAATGTTTTCAGTTTCGAAAACGCGGTTGTAACTGTGACCAATAATTTTCGGGGAATTATTTGTTTTACTTTTATAGTAGCATAAACCTAGATTTACGTTCTAAAAGTTTATAATTGATTTATACTGGCTTGAGTGCGTATTGTAATTTTGTTTTTTAATAAATAAAAAGTTCTTATAACAATGTATTAAATTCAAATATTTAAAGTACAATTTATTAAAATTAATCTATCCCTTGAAACAAAACTTTATATTATTCCCCTTATTGTTTGTCATATTTGTATATGACTTATCTGGTTCAGTTACTCCCTTATTATTATATTTTCTATAGAGAGATAATACAATATTCTCGTTTAATGTTGGTATACAATCTACATGTAAAACACAAATCAAATTAATTCAAACTTCTGTTGTGCAGAAGCTAATGTAAAAACAATTAACTCTAGTATGGGTGTCTTTTATAACTTTCATAGTTTTTAAAGGTTCCCATCACTGGTTAGCTTCCCTGCTCCACGCCTCCCAAAAAAACGTATTATTTTTGTTCGCCTATTTTTCTTACTGTAATTTGTTTGTAATGTACAGATTGTAAATTTTACGTATTTCTTTTAATAATAATAAAAAAAAACTTGTTAAATTTAATAAATGAGACGGGTAAAAAAAACGGCGGTAAACAGATACGATATTATATAAAATAATATTTTATAGGTTACGATACATTTGTTACGTGTTTGTTAGATTTGTTAGATTAGGTGCTAATCACATACAATGTTAATAATAACAAATAAACATAATATGATCAAACACGCTGTGGCGGCTTAACCGCCAAACACGTTTATGTATACTGCAGTAGGGCAATTGCTCATTTATTATCGAGCTTGTTGATTTTTTCAAATTCACGAAAGACTTGAATTATTTAGTGAACATCGCGGAGATGAATAGGAAACTACTGAAAATTTGAAAACAAAAATAGCGACCCGTGCATAAACATTTGTTTATTAATTTTTCAAACCTATACCCGATATGGTATACGTATTGTTGCTATCTCGCAACTACCTCACGTTTTTAAAAAAAACGTCCAATAAAAGTTACGTAAATAATTTAGAATTTTAAACTCGGCGGAAATGAATTGGTTTGAAAGTTTTATTTGCCTCGGATCGAAATCTTCATATATTTTTTCGGATGTTTTTTTTTTTTTTTGTTTTTTTTTTTTGTGGAGTTCGGAGTGTAGCTGACGCGTAATATTTTATCGCGGGAGTTGAATTTGTGTTGTTATTATGTTTTCGTATAAGCTTAAAAGCCCGTCGTCGCTCCCGGTACCGGCACGTGTAACGGCGTCGCGACGTTCGCGCGCGAATCGCCACGCGTTTGTCCAATAACGGCGCACGCCCGCGGTTACGCGGACGCGCCTTTTGGAAAACGAAACCGCCCGCGCACGGCGCGCGATAATCGCCAAAACGCGCGCGCGCCCGCACTCACCTACGCGTTCGGTCTCGCGTACCGTTTCTATAAACGCGCGCATCGCTAACGACCGTCGGCCGCGATTCGCGCGCTTGTCAAATGCGCTCGTGGCGGGCGCGCAAAGGTTCCCGAGCGGAATCCGCAGCAACGGGTTCGGCGGGACTGGTCGCGACGGGCTAACGGAATTTAATTACGCGCCGGTCGGCCGGCCGAGCGAGCGCGCGCGGTATAAAAGAGAGAAAAGAAAAAAAAAAACGAAACGGTAGGGACGTCAAAACGATTGAAAAACAATTTTTTTTTTTTTTTTTCTAAATACGCGTTACAATAACGGATACACGCGGATAACGCATTCTCCGTCGATATACAGCGTTACCAGGAAATTCGATAAAAATGTATTTCGATTTCCTCCTAAAAGAAAAAAAAAACAATTAATATTTCTATTTTTAAAATGCATTACAATAGATTTACCGATTTCACCAGATAAATACGATGCCGACTGCAATAAAAAAAAAAAAAAACGATAAGCTGTTTAATGAGTTGTTATGTAGTATTTGTGTTGCACTGTTGTGCTTAGTAAATTCGTGTACCTAATAAAAATACATTATTTTTTTTCTTAACGTTTAAAAAAGGTTTTAGGGCATTTTTTAACCATTTTTTTTTTAAATTTTACCGTGTTTTTTCCAATTTAATTGTATTTTTTAAAAGCATTTTTCGTGTTTTTTCAAAGCGTTCGAATCCGCACCCTAAATTATAATATACGGGTTCGGTTTGCCGCGTGACGGTTATAGGCGATGGATACCCGTACAACGATTCGACGGAGAGTGTATCGCTAACGGAAATCGGTGTACAAATTTTTGGTGATCTTGTAGGGAATTTTCGGTAATCTTATATGTATGTAAAAACCGGATTTATGTGTTGATAAAATCCACAATTGTGCATTTGAAAACGTCGAAATGTCCAAAAAAATCATTTAAAAATTATAAAAACGCAAAAATAATAGAGGGATTTAATAGTCCTCCCTCTGACAAATTTAATTTATAAATACAATTTTCTAGCTCCACACAAAATACTAATCTCGGGTATAAGGAGTAAGGACTACCAAATATTTATATTTGAATTCAATTTTTATATTCCAGTAAAAAAGCTTAAAAAAATAATCATTTTATAGAGTTAATTGTTCTTCAGAAAATCGATTCCGTATCGACTTTTTTATTTTCATTAAATTCGTAATTTTAAATGGTTTTTTAAAGATCCGAGAAAAAAGCGTACAGTCAATTAGCTATAATAATATTAATAATAATCAATTACGGATGACGATTACAGCTCGTTGCACAATTATACATGCATTTGTCTGAACTGTAAACAATTATTAAAAACCGTACATTTAATGAAAATAATAAGTTGAAACGTTGACGTTTTCAGAAGAATGAACTCTATGAAATGACCATCTTGTTCGACCAAAACATAAATAATATTCAAATGAAAATATTTGTAATCCTTATACTACCCGCGAGTGGTATAAAAAAAAAAAAAAGGAGAAGACATCATAGGCTTATGGAGACGGGAGCAGCCACTGTTATAGGTGATTTAATGTACATCATCTGTTAGCAATGATTAACCATTATTAACGAAAAAAACGATTCTGAGCAGAGTTCGGTTGATTGTGATGCTTTCAACAACATAAATATGAGATATTATGGTATAATAATAAAATAGGCATCACATATTGTCTTTAATTATATTTGTTTACTGTACCGATTTTCCCGTTTTTCCTACGATTTCCTCAGTTTTTTCACGTTTTTTCCTGGTTTCCCACATTCGCCGGGAAAATTCTTGAGAAAATCGAAAAACGACCACGTTAAAGTATCATTGCACGCCGATTTTCATTCAGAAAAGATGCTACACGTAAAAATCGGAGCAAGTTCTCTGGTAGAAAAGTTGTCCGCGGGGAAAAACAAAAAAACCTATTTGTAAAATTTTCGTCGCTCCACTCAGAATCGACAACTAGATTTGATTGTGTCTTTATTATCTCGAGAGATATTGCAATGACGGGTATATCTCCGTCTAAACGGTATTACTTGACTATAAGGCCCGGATTCAAATGCAAAGTGCATGCAATGTACTTGTATATTGTTTTTTTTTTTTTTTCCCCCGGTGCTCTAGAGTCTAGGTCAATGCCCATTCTTATACAGTACCAACTCACGGATAATTCGATTCGTGTAACAGGCGGGTCGTACTTCCACGTAGAAAGCGAAACTCGTGTTTCGCATTTTTCGACTCGATTTTCCCGTTAAACTTTTTTTTTTCCCGGTCAGTTTTGACCGGCCGTTAACGTGGTAATAACTAAAAATGCGGTGGTTTCGATGTAATCGTTGGAAAGAAAAAAAAAATAATAAACGATTTCGATTTCGATGAGCAACTCGCGTGACCGTAATATTATTATATACTTATAAGTGATTGAGTACTGCGGGGCGTACGATGCGTAAATTTTTTTTTTCGCCGTCAATTTTACGAATCTCATTAAGAGGTAATGCTTGGCTAACACAACATTGTGCTGTGGGCATCGTGCGTCAAGCAGATAATAACAACAGCGCTAATACCGCGTATCGATACATATAAGATGTAGAAAAAAAAAAAAAATTGTTCAGTCATAGGGCAATAAAAACAAAAATTGAATCATTTCGTGTTACGGTATTAGATAAAAAGTTTGTTTTCGCAATCTAATAACAATCGCGTTGTTATACTCTGCGCCGTTACATCGTTACTGTATTGTAATACCCGAAATGTCCAGTCGCGTAAAACTTTATTAACGTGTACGGACGAAAATCGACGGTTTTTAATATTTTTAAAATTTAGGTCACGCACGGTACTTCGTATACGTACGCACAGTATACTGAGCGAACGGTTTTTGTTTCTTTAATTTCTGATATTTGTTGAAAAAAAAAAAAAATAGAAATTAATTTCACGAACATAAATATGTTGGCTACGCAAGATCGAACGTCGCTGCAGTATAGTTTTCAATACATTTTCGAGGGTTTTTTTTTTTTTTTTGTATTTTAGATTTTTTACAGATTCGTATTTTGTATACTTTTAATCCGCTTTTTTCGTAACAATATGACGTTCGGAAAAAAAAATTCGGGGGTCGCGATTGAATTTATTCATTATAAAAATAATTACAATATGGATTGTATTTATTTTTTTTTTCACCGTTGCTTTAAATGGATTATACACTACGCAAATTTGTTGCAATACACCTATGCACCGTATATAAAACACAATGATAACGATCCAACTTATGGATTTCCAAATTTAATTCAAAATGATCATATCGATGAATAATATACAGTATTTATTTATTTTTATTCGTTTAATAGTGTTTTATTTTTTTTTTTTTTTTTTACGAACGACCGCAGTGATTCGCTAGTACGTGACTCCGTCTCCGAGTTTCGTTTGAAAATCTAAACTAAATACGCCTAAAAAAAAGAACGCGCGGAAAATCATATAAACAGTACTAAAACACGGAGAAATACAATAATATTTTGATAAAACATGATTGGATATAATTATTTTTCCGCGCACCCGTGTATCGGTTTAGAGAATTTTAGCAGAATACATCGTCTGTCTCGGGAAAATCCCTTGTTTATCGTGAAAGCCTTTCACGGTGAAATGTCGATATTATTTTATTTTTTTTTTTGTGTCTAATCATTTTTTATTAAAATATTATTGGTAATTATCATACGATGACTCACAATATAGCTGCGATAGATTCTGATACGCATACACAGCGCGTGTTTCACTGAAACGGTATCGCGATACATTTTACCCGGACGTACTTTGATGGAAATGGGATTTTTTTTTTCTACAAAGTCTGGGGGAACCGAAACAAACGCGTGCAGCCGATTTCTAAAATTGTAATTCTTGTGGTGTATCCGCGTGCAATAAAACTCACATTTTCTTAAACGCTTGTTTTTATCACTAGATTCGAATCGTAGTATTTTTTTTTCTTTAATGTGTTTTGCATCAAACAACTGTAAATCACTAACACCGTTTTTTTTTCTCTCTTCTCAAAAACTACCCAAAGCTCCCAAAGTTTAACCCGAGTTGATTAAAAAAATTACGATTTTTTTCTCGTTTTCGATTTATCTCTATCTCGGGCGTTATTTATCTCGAATAAAGTATAGTTTTTGAACAGGAAAATTTTCAGTTATATGAAAAAAAAAAAAAAAAAAAAAACGAAAACAAAAAATCGGGATATTCGAATATAATGCTGAAAATATGCGTTTCTGTTTGAGAAAATATACGTTTTATTTTTCACGCGTGCACCGCAAGAGATAACATTTTGAAAATCGGCCAAAAACAATGGCTATAGTTTCGTTTGTTCTTATTTATTATTTTTTTAAAAAAAAAAAAAAAAAAAAAAAAAACCGCAATTCCTATATCCGAATACGTCCGGTTAAAACGTTTCGTGTTCCAATTTGAGCGAAACGGTGTCCGCTATGTAATAATGCGAGTTCATAAAGTTCAATAATAGTATTGTTTCTATAATAGTAGTGTGTAAATGCGCATATTTAATATTCAACTTTTAAGGTCACCGATAAATTTATTTAACAGACGGATGTCATTGCGTCAAAATCATAACAAAAAAAAAAAATTACCATACAACTATTATAATGAAATAGTATTCGAATTTTATCGTACAACATTAATAATTGTTGAAAGAATATGACGAACCTCGTGATTAATTTTCGATCGGTTTTGTTGGCCCGAAATTATTGTTTAACGCTCACTGTTTCGCGCGCGCGTTACCGCGGTGACAAATAATTTATTGATTAAACGCTTACTATGTTTTCATTTGAAATTCGCGTTTCTATAATATAAATTAAATTGTATTATTCGCGCATTCGAAAAATGATTTAAAAATTGTACAACATCGTAGATATTCGAACCAGTGACGGGTCCAGGGGGAAGAAGTCGATAGGGTTCATCGCCCCACCCCCCGTTCACTCTTCAATATAATCTTAGCCCCGTTTTATACCCATAGTTTGATTCATCGTTGAGCTAGTCGTAAATTCGTACGTTGTATGAATTTTCAAAATCGCCCCCTATCCCCGTTATCTTGTCCTGGATCCGCCACCGATTCAAACTATTGTGAATAGACCATAATTTTATTTTTTCGGCTTTCTCGAACATACGGATTTAAAATTAAATAGGTTAATACAATAACTGTGGATGTAGTTAAAATCAGATAAATTTATACATTATACATATTATAAACTATTGTTTTTATGTGTCGGATTACATGTTAAATCGGGAATCACTGTTGTATTCTAATTTAAGTTCATTACACACTTTTGGATCCACGGTGGTTTTGGTGATTGCACATTTGCACTTGGCATAATATTGTATACGAACAAATGCCACGGTTTTCCTAGACACGTGAGTATGAAACGTATGCCGCATTCATAGAATGATACCTTGCCATTTGTTTATCGTTGTTGGAAAGGCCTGCAGTTGGATTGCGATCGTTTGAATTGCAACGGCATTTCTATTATGAACATTGCAGGCTGTGGCGGCGTGATAATTTTTTATTTCACGAGTCAAACATAGATGTTAGAGATTGATCACCATCACCTTAATGTTATTAGACAGAGTCGTGGGGATAAAGCCCCCGCACACCATCCCCTCTCTACCTCAATTTACCATTCCACAATAATATGATTTAAATCATAGTGATTTTATATCTTATGAATATTAAAAATTGGGCACTGCATACATGTATTTTAATAATACATTATACCTTTTTTTATAATTCACTATCCGTCAATAAAAGAGACCACTGGATTATAATGATCAAAATACCGAGCCATGTAAAACGTGCGACATTCAAACGACAGAGTTTAGAACTCTATGAGATTTTTTTTGAAAATTTATTTATACAATTAACAAATAATTTATTTTATTTTATCTTCTTCGTAAAAAATATATAATAAAATAATAAAGTAAAAACAAAATTATTAAAATGGTTAATACTCGTAAATAAATAAAGTAAATAAATATATAAATAAAAAATGTACAAATTAAAATAAAATAAATTCAATGAATCATAGCATCACCTGGAGTATTATGATAAGTGTCTTACGACCGGTTTCGAGTTAAAAATTCATCATCAGGTATATCACAGTCAAAATGCAATGTCAGTCGCATTTTAAATTTCGACTGTGATATACCCGACGATGAATTTTTAATTCGAAACCGGTCGTATAATATACTTATCATAATACTCCAGGCGACACATTGATTCGTTTATTTACTTTATTTATAAAAAATATGTCTTATCGAAATATTTGAAATACCCTATCACGCCGTCACTGATTGCGGGTATCCGCGGTATTAGTAAATTTCTCTCCTTCGAATTTGTCAGTTAAAATGTTTGGTTGGACGATATTGTTTAATGTGCCGGAAGGTTATAGGGGACTTTGTACACTTGAAAGACGGGAGAGGTAGTAGACCGTCGGGGAAAGGGGTATACGTGGTTAATGGGTGTCAAGTGAATACAAATCGTACAAATACAAATTTATAATTTATTAAGTACCCATATATAATACAATATACTATTAACGCCCGTGAGCAACTCTGACGACCTTAACCGTTTTAAATCATTTTTATTTTCCGTTGAAATAAACGGTCAACACATTTATCTGAAGCCTTTTATACGCGCGTTCACACTCGCACCGCTGCAGTTGTACGACGTGACCGTTTTTATCCATTTATATCAAGACGCATTCTACTCGTATTATTAAAACGTTTTGCTGTTGTTGTTGTTGTTGTTGTGCTCGTGGCTGTCGTCTGCTATAAAAATAATAATAGTAGTTACCTATACCTATAATAGAGTAATGTGAGCGATCGGTTCAATTTAGACCATCCGCTTTTTTTTTTTTCTTTACACAATTTCCTCTCGATTATTCTCTCGCAGTCGTAATGTGCGGTGAATATTGTTGCCGGACGACCGACCTTGCCTAACCTAATACCGTCATAATAATAATAATATACCTAACCTACCTATATATTATTATAACGAGTATGTAGTCACAACTACAAAAGCGTTTCGCGTGCGTACATAGCGAGCAACACCGATCGGCTGAGGTCGAACGATATTCAATAATCGCCGTTTAAACGACCCGACTTGGCGTATTAGAAAATAAAAAAAAAAAAAGCTGGTGTACTGTACACGATCAGGCAACTGTTGTAGGTGTATAGTTGGAAGAACAGAACAGGGTGTACAGAGAAATTCAGTTTGTATTTTGTACGTAACGATAAATCATTTCTAATGAAAAACGATTCTGAGCACTAGAGTACTAAAATATTATAAGACGCATTTTACGAAAAATTGCCAGTTTTTCCTATTTATTACGAAAACTAAAAGACAAATCAAAGAATCACCTGCACAATGCATTAACTGGATAAAAAATATTACAAGAAAATATTTGATACGTTTCTGATTGGATTAAAATATCTTGTAGAAAATTTATTTAAAAATAAAAATGAAACGCCACCTCAGTAAAACCAATACATTTCTCGCTACGCTCAAAGTTTAAAATGGTTTATGGAATTGCGTTCAATTAGTATTAGATAAGGATTGTCGAATTGTACTCATTACATATAAATTAAAATGGTCCGGTTGCAGTTAAAAACATTGCATTCTGGTAAAAGATGTGTGATAGACAAACTGCACTAAGAAAAAGCAATTATTTTCTGAGATACTTTAAAAAGCTCAAAATAAAAATATATATTTAATTAGATACCTTAGAAAAATATTTCATTTTTGATCACAGCATTGATTAAATTGTAAGTAGGGAAGTTTTTTTTTGAAACATTTAAATCGATTTTTGACCAGAATGCAGTTAAACCTTTTAAGATTCTGAGCGGAGCGAGGAATGTATTGGTTTTACAATGATGATTTAATCTTTTTCTGTGGACAACTTTTTTACCAGCAATTTTGTTCTGATTTTCAAATATAGACATTTTCTGAAGTGAAATTTGACCGGGGTGATACTTTAGGGAGGTTATTTTTTAATTTTCTTAGTGGTTTTCATAATATATGAGAAAAAACAGGAAAAACGGGAAAATAAATAAAATCTATTATTTTCAAATTATAAATATATTGTGGCCTTTTAAAACATGTATAACCGTACTCCGCTTAGGATCGTTTTTCGTTAGCAGAGATTAATCTTTACGTAAATATATAAATTAAATTCTTTTCGATATCGCGCGTAGCATGTCTGTTTAATAACAATAATATAGCGAACACGGCGTATATAATAATATACCTACTCATATTTTCGAACTAATATAGGTATATTTTTTACATTTTAAATTGTCAACCAAATAAATATACGCGCGTGTTTTTGAATAATTGACACTTAAAAAGGAATTGTATGTAGGTACGTGCACTGAAGAAAAATTAGGTAAAGAAAAAAAAAATCCAATGTCCGGAAATGACTTGATATAGTTAATATGATATTATGAATGATGTGCGTGATGCAGTTTTGACCGGTGTCCTTCAGTTTCAAAACTTGGTTGGTTATGCGTTAGATTAGGTCATGGATTTAGTTTTATTTACATCAACTATTACCTATGGTTTTAGTACCTGTTGGTTTGAAAATTATATAAAAAAATTATATTAATAACAATAATCAGTTAATGATAAATTATTATTAATATTATTATTATTATTTTTTTTTTTTGCTGTATTTCAATTTCAAATAATCGTAGGGACCTGTCACTTTTCTCTGTATAATATAATTTCATGTCTAGTGTCAAGAGAGTTAATTGGGGAGTAGGAGCTATGTGATCATTTTTAGAAAACTTTATGTATCAAAAAAAAAAAAAAAAACAACAATTTTTACAACAAAAATTTTAATATTCTATGTATTTAATTTTGGCGAAAATATCAATAATATGATCATACCCAAACTACATACTTGTACTTGTCTATAATAGTTGAAAGTATGTTTTTTTTTTGTACCTAATTTTCTTTTTAAAAATATACACATTTTTTAGAAATTCGAATTCGGGAGTCCGCAGATTTTATGCCCCACCTGAATTCACCCCTGATTCATGCCCAAATTCTATACCCCCTGCTTTCTAATCTTCTGTCACTCCGTTAATCCATCTCTTTCTAGGATATCAACGTAGTCGTTTTCTTTGATATTCATATTCATAACCAGCTCTTTGAGGATCATTGTCTAGCTCCTATTCTTAGAGTATGGCATAGACATTGGATTCGTTGACCTCTGATGAATCTTGTTATCGCTAGTTAAAAATATACTTGTAAAAAAAATTATAAATTAATAAAGTATCTTTTTAAATTCATAACTCACTATCCAAGCTTCTTTTGTTGCGAATTTGTCGATTATTTGAGAAAAATCCAATTCTCGAAGCAACTCACTTTCCATACTCGGAAGAGAAATAATAGTTGATAATCTATTGTGTTCCGCCGAAGCGTAAAAGTAGTCGGATTTTATTTTGGAAAATGATCGTCCTCTTCTATAATTGGATACCGTCAAGACCAAATACCCTGGATTACAAAATTAATCACAATTACTTCTTACCTTACTTTACGTTGTCTCTTATTCGGCCACGACGGAATACCATTTCGGCGAATAAATCTAACTCGGCCGTCTATATTTTTTCAGATGTAGAAAAATCCGGATTTGCCGAAAATCAATAATCCTGTTTCTCGGAAACCAAAAACTTATTAAAAATCAAGATCTGCTATTTTTGAAACATCGATTTTTAAATTCTTTTAGGCAATTTTGATACAATTCATAAACTGATCATAGTTATACATTTGAAATTCAAAAATGGATTTTTCGTATTTTGAAGTCCAACATCCGGATTTCTTTTACTAAAATTCGAAATCAGGATTTATTGGATTTTTGGACGATCCAAATTTATGTCAAATAACTTTAAATACAATAAGCGCCACATTATTCGCTGAATATTCGTTGATATATATATATTTGTAGTTAATCGAAAATATAAAAGAATAATGATAAAAATAATATAATTCTAGTTTTTATACGAAATTTCTGATACTCAACTCATTAATTTTTAATTTTTTTTTCTTTATTTTTGCATATTTTGCTCCAAAGCATGTTTACTTTTTAAATCGTTTTGATTGGTTTTTTTGCTTACGATAATAGATGTACAAGCACATTTTTCTCACAATACAATTTATGTGGCTATTTAACGCAGAAAAGTAATTTTCAAAAGGATAATCAGATAAAAAAGAATCATCTAACCTCATAACAATAAAAAGTTATTTATTTGAGACACACACACAATGTGACGCACTGCTGCGTCGAGTCAAAATGAAATTGTTCCCACGACGACTTAATACAACTTCCACTTAAACGTACATGGTATTTTTTGTAAAGATAAAAAAGAAAAGATAAATATTTTGTAACATTATACTGCAACTATAAGAAATTATGTTCGAATAATAATATACAAGCTCGTCGAACGATCAAACACGAATTTATGCATTTATACGACTTGTACGAATTTGTATGCGATTTCCATGAAAATTGTCAACAATTACATTTTCAAAAGAATAATATAAAAAAAAAAAAAAAAAAACGATTTCAGAGTGCAGAAAGCAAAATTTGTTATCATCAATATACTATTGATTCGACGAAAAACGATACCTCATTTCAGCTACCGCGCTACGGCGTGGCATTGTAATTTTATCACTTTTGGTTTTATATTTGGTCACGTGTCACTACTGCAATATAATCACGACGACGACATCGTTTCGGCCGCCAATTAGTCGCATCCGGAGAAGTAAAAACTAACTAACTGCTCGTGAAAAATGGTTTTTTTTTTTTTTGTCACTTATTGTTATACATGTCTTTTACTTTTGACTTATACGAACAACTATTCTACACCGTGATCGATATAACAAGACTGCTTTATAGTAAATGACGTTCCACCACTACCGATCTCTCCGTGGGCACGTTGGGATCAGCTCTATTTGCCCACGTTAAGCGGCTGCCCAGAAAAATCGAAATTAATTAAAAAACACACAAATTCGTAGTATCAAAAGGTATTATTTTACACACGTGAACTATAAAATTGACAAAAATATTAAATAAATTACTGCATAAATAAAACTAAATATAATATACTAAATAAAATTACTATTTAGATGTGGAAGATGTACAAAACTTTATAATTTCTTGTTGTCTAAGCTGTTTAGTGTGGATCTGGTTAATTAAAAGTGGGCACATGCTTCAAGCTTTTCAGACGGACTATTTTCGCTACCCTCTTGCATGAACTCACACACAAGTTTATATATTTAGTCAACAAAATCCCATTAATGTTTAAATGTTAATACTTTTGATTACAATAATTTTCGATAATCTCATAGATACAACGAAACCCGATTGTTTTAGTCGTTTTTAAATACATATGTATACATTCTAGCACTATGATAAAATAAAAATTGCCCACATATACCGAATCGAGTGTCCATATTATGCGATTTTTCTTAACCTTGTTAATATAAATTTGTATTGAGATCAGACCATTTTGCCCATATTACGCGGATGCCCATATTAACCGTTGTGCCCACATTAGGCGGAATCCACTGTGAATAGAAAAACGTATTTATAGTATAATATATAGTGTTGGGTACAATAGGATATTTATACTCAAACTATCGCATTTGAATTATTCGATAGATTAAAAACTACTCGAATAGGTTTAACTATTCGGTTACAAAAAAAAAAAAAAAAAATACTATTCGATTAAAAATTCGACACTCGACAAAATCAACTATTCAAAAGTATCCATTCGTTTTTTTTTTTTTGAAATTTCTAAATAGTGTAATTTGATAAGCTAGTCGATATAAATTATCGCAAATATGCATAGTTGTTCGTAAAACGGGAAGTATAATTTTAAAATATTCATATTAATTTTTCATTTTTGGACGTTGTTCTTAAGACTTTGAAATTCAAACTATATGTATGGGTAAACTTATAATGTATTTATGGTGTAGTCTTGAATTATTTTCAATAACCGTGGATTTATCAAATCGAATATTAATTGAAAAAATTGCCAAAAAGTTTGAAAAAAATGTGATTCCATAATGGTTAGTATTGATTACTAATCTGGTTCGCCTTTGGGTGCCAAAATTAATAATAATAACAGAGTACGGTATTATTATGTATTTAAACAAGGATGTATTCAGCTCTCACCCATCATATTTAACGCCTATATTCACGAAGCCATAGATTTAATAAAATAAAGAACTCAGTTGTGTGTAAAAATAAATGGATGGAATATCGACATACTAAGATTAGCACATGATATAGCAATAACAAATAAAAAAAGATGAATACTTACAAGAATTATTAAGAACCGTAGAGGAAGTTATGAATACCCTTTAGAGGTCATCACTCAACAAACGGTATTATACTTACGTTACGTTAAATTTGTTTGCTTTATTTAACTAACAAATTACGCTTCTTTAAAAGTTAAATCATGATGTCAAAAAAAAAAAAAATCTTATTTAGTTATTACTAAGACTCGAAGTCATTGCACTAAAAAATCATTAAAATCGATTGCATAATTGCAGTAAAAAATATCCTAGATTGTACTTAAAAATTGCAATCAATTATTTTATTTACCAAACGAATAAAAACATGCTACGTTTTGGGGAAATAACAATTTGTGCATCGTTTTATCAAATAATATTCCCACCACTGCTATCACAATCGATAAAGCCAGAAATAACCATAAATTATTATATTATTCTGACACATTAATATCTGACAAGGCTCTATCTGTCGTTATTTTATTTCTAACGTATAAAAAAAAAAAACAAATCAAGTGAGTAATATTTAAAAGTGTCAACAATTGTACTATGAATGAAGAAAATTGCAATCAAATTAAAAAAAATGACGAAAATTGCAAAAAGTTGCATTCAAAATTTTTAGATTTTAATTCGTACATGCATGGAACGAATGTAAAACTTCCTTAGCAATAAATCCGGACAATAGAAGTAAATGTCGCGAATGCAACAATTTTCGAGCTTTAGTTTATTGAAATGGTTAAGAAAAATCGGGACGGGCCCGGGCCTTCCAAGCCTATCCGCTTTGTACGCCACCGGCGCGTAGAACGAAAAAACTGTGGATGATGAGGCCGCGATCAAGAAAAACGTCAACAATTAATATCGATAGACTTTGGACGCAAAGCGTACGGAAAGAAAGCCGAATAATGGGCAATAGCGGAGAGTTTGGTGCAAACCGATCCCGGGTTTCAATACAGACGATGACCAAGACGTCGACGGTATTGTAATTGAATTTTTTTTAATTTTGAAGGGCGTATTAGTTGCGCAGCAGCAGCAGCTGTGTGTGTGTGTGTGCGCGCGCGCGCCTATTTTGTACCGTTATCATTAATACAATTCACGGTGTTCGCGATGATTACGGGTAGCGAAATAAATATTATTATTTCGAAAATGTCAGCTGTTATAGGTAATGCCGATACGATATTATTATAATATCTTTTCGTAATAATTCGATAGAGTAAAATTATAGTTATTACTATTATTATTATTATTTTTTTTTTTGACGTCGCGTCGCGTATTCGTTTGTTTATAGAAAAAAAAAAAAATTTGTAGGTCAGAGAAAAAAAAAACAACCTTATTTTATCCGATATAATAATTATTACGTTCCAATGTAATCGTTGTAATCGTTTAAATATACGGTACAAAACGCATCGTCGTTTAGTCAATGGGAATTAGAATATCAATACGAATATTATCGCAGAATATTATTATATGACGTTATTGTAATATTGACCTAAACGTTATTTATATTATTTTCCGAACACGTTTTCTTCGTTATTTTTTTTTTTATTTTATCTAAAGTGTGTGTTCGCGCGCGCGTGTGTGTGTGTGTGTGTGTATGTGTGTAGCTCTATTCAATCAATCGATACGCGTACGTAAGCAGTGTAATATTATCTGCTAATCGGTCCGTGTGTAATATTATTATTGTCTTTATTAGAAACTTAATTTGACGCGTTTAATTTGAACGTTTAAAATATAATATTGTATTAAATATCGTCAAGGATTATAATTTTGAATTTTTTTTTTTTTTTTTCGGCAGGTAGTGGAATTATATAATAATTATATAATAAATTGTAGTGTTTATTTTCGCGCTACACCACGATGTATACCGCACTATTTAAATACTGTAACAACGTGTTGATGTTGTCGGTACATATTACAGAACATTATTCGCGTTGAATACGTTAATATAATATGGTATTGCGGGCGGTTGAACTGTTATAATAATAATAATAAAAAAAAAAACAACAACGAACTACTAACGTTTTACACGGGCAAAACGGTATTCCGTTTTTGTTATCTTTTGGATTTTGAGCGTGGCGAAGTCCGTATATATCACTTCACAGTGATATTGTGTGTGTAACGATTGAAGGATTTTTTCACCAGAAATAATTTAAGTGTATATCGTAATGTGCTATTTGAAAGAAAATTGTCTTTAGTTGGTGTGTCGGTTTTTTTTTGATTTTTCCGTGTAAGTAGTTTTCTCAATAACAGAGAGATTAAGATAGTTAGAAGAATAGAATAATTAAGATAGTCAAAAAAGTATAGGAATAAAATATTTTTTAAATTAAATTTGCCATATAAAATGTTACTTGTACTTTTTTATTCACCCCACATGTTTAACATTTGAAGACTACGTGTTGTCACAGGACCTAGTTAACGTCGCGAAAACGTGAGTAGGTATCATGTCTGCGCTAGTTTAAGCAGACATGTTAGAACATGTATAGTTAATATTGCACAGCTTTCCATTTATATGAAGCATGCGTTTTAACCATGTTATTAGTGGACTATTTAATAGCTACTATAAAGCTGTTTATGCAGTTATGTTGTAAATTTTCTTAGTACAAAGTATATTATATTGTACAAGCTATTACCATGTAAAATATACCAAAAATTAGTTTTTGTTATTTTGCAGGTGAATGAGTTGTTAAATGAAAAATGTACAAATAACATTTTTTGTAGGATAAACAATTTAAAAAATATATTGTTCTTACACTTTTTAGTCTGTCTTAAACATTTTAGACTAAAATTACAAAAATCTAAAAATCACCCTTATTTGAACTTCAACCCTCTTGAGGCACGCCTTAAGGTTTACCGATTTTTACGAAACTTTACAAAATACATTCTTTTGTGGATTTGAACAAATTTCAGTGGTAGCCCAATCAAAAACCGAAAAGAAATTTTCTTCATCTATAGTCTAAGGACCACCCTAATAGACATGGTAAAGTTGTCAAAACATTTTTGCGATTTTTGAACTGTTTACATGTATTTAACCTTTTTGAGTTCTTTTAGTAATTTAGCGGAGCGATATTTAGCGGTATGTATTGGTTTTATAATGTTAATTGTTTTTTTCATCCGTGAAAAACTTTTCTTCCAGAAATTTTGTTTCGATTTTCAAGTTTAACATTTTTTCTGAAAGGAATTTTAACTGAGGTGGTACTTTTTTGATTTTCCCAGAAGTTTTCATAATAAATGGAAAAAAAAACGCAGGGAAAACTTACGAAACGTATTATTTTCAAATAAATAAGTGTTACGGCTTTTAAAATATGTATAACCGAACTTCACTTAGAATCGTTTTTCGTTATCAAAGATTAATCGTTGCGTACAGATATAGGTACATCAAATTTCCCTCTATACTCTACCTTCCCAAATTCATACGTCTACAACGGTTGCCCACGTGCGAAGATGTCCGTATCTTTTTAGGTTTTATTTGGTAGGTATTGTACGCGAATAAAATTGTTTACTTTAATTTATTTACACATTCGAATTTTTCTCAAACCGTCTAGAAATATATAAATAACATTACGTAGACGTCACTGAAATATTGAAATATTGGATACCTATTTTATTTCATGTCAGATCAAATTTTTTCCTCGTGTATTTACATTAAATGCGTTATACAGAACGGCGTTTCTTTCAAATGGTAACGTGAAATTATGTTTCAGTCGGATGGACATCAATCGAAACATGAATTTTTTGGGGGAAGGGGGCATCTAGGAAATACATATTTTCAGCCGATTTTCTCCACCCACGAGTAATTAAACTTATATTTTATTAAACGGAAGCATCTATTATGTAAACCGGGCGGTAATACTATTGAAGAAGTTAAATGTTGAGTTATAAGTAAATTTTTTCGTTGACCACTTAGCTTCATTAGTAAATAATTTGAACTTGGTTATTTTGTTCAGATTTCAGTGATTTTTAAAAACTTATTTATGCATTTTTCGTATAAGAGACTGCGTACTACGTATTTTTAGATGAATATCATATTTCATAACTATCTCTTAAAAAAACGAGCATAACTTTTCAGTGTAGTAGTTTCATTAAAATTTAAATAAAAAAATGTGAAATTTTACAGTGAGAAGTACGGAGGTATGAGTGTATTTTAAAGGTACGCTCAAAAAAAGCAACTTTATCGACTAGGCATATTATTTTCTTGACGATTTTTAATTTAACTTAATTACTTGAATTGATTTTTATTTTAAAAATAACATTTATATAGCTCACTATTCTCATTATTATTTTTTTTTTTTACGATGACTCAATCTAAACTAGCTGTAAACAAATTATCTAATTAACTCTCCCAGCTTTGCCGTTTTATATAACACCGGATTCGAACCGTCGAATTTGTCTCGGGCGAAATTTTATCAAACGAAAATTATAAAAAAAATAATAATATGATTCTCTTTTCTCCGAGTATGCGATTGTCTTTATTAATAATCTCTCACTTCCTCGGCTAAATTTCTTCACGTCTCAAAAGATACACGCGAAAAATTTCGTTATTTATCGCGGAACTATATAATAATAACAATAATAATATTATAATATAGGATGACGGACCTACGGTTTTTAAATATTTTTTTCGCCTGCAATAAAAAAAAAAAAAAAAACATAACATAACATTTGTGACACCGCATTACGATCATAATAATAATAATATTACGGCGATGACAGTGATATAAAAAATAATTTATATACTATATACGAGCTCGAACGACTATAAAAAAAAAAAAAACAAAAAAAAAAAACTACACCGCATCATAAAATACTGCAGTTTTTTTCACGCGTTTAGTCTTAAATATTTTATTAATTTCAAGTGGGCACTTTATTACACGGCCTAATCGCCGTGTTTTCTAAATTAAATAAAAAACAAATAATATTTGCGTTTCAAACATCATGACGGTTAGATACAGTCGATTCGTGTTTATTATTGTATTATTTAACGACGTATTTATTTTTTTATATATATATATATATATACATACACGATTATTATTGCCGCATTAAAAACTACACAGCGTTAAACGGTCGCGACGCGTATTTGATTGGCTGAAATTTAATCGAGATTTATGGAGAGATAGACATTAGGCCTCAGAGAGAGACAGAGAATAGCATTTCTTTTAAAATAAACAACGATTACTATCTATTAGCAGATTTTTTTTTTTTTTTTGAACACAGACGAGTTTATTTGTATCATTTTTTTTTTATAACCCGATTGCAATGAGAGAATAGCGTTTGGGTTTCGTGTATTAGGCAAGGGCGCCCGAAGGTGAAAATTTAGGGGGCGACAGCCTAAATTTGTATTAATTATCAAACACTTTTATTAGGTAATACATGATATAGATTTTTCAAACAAATTTAAAAGTATTAAAATATAATTTTTAAATTGTAATATTTTAATGTTTAGACCAAAAGGGTAGGGAAGGGTATAAGTAGCCTATCTATGACTCTTCTCTACTCTTCCGGTCGTGTTAAACTGTTATAATTCATGAACGGTCAATCTGATATTAGTGTTGTGCATATAACAATTTCTAGAAAGATATTTCTATTTAAAATTTTGTTCAGAAATGGGTTCCTATTTAAAAATCAAAATAATACACTTATTTAAGGTAAATGGAGGAGGCGTAAAAATTAAAAATTGTTTTAAAATAAAGCTTAAACGATTCTATAATGATTAGAAAAAACAGAAATCAAATTCATTTAAATTCTCTTAGATAATTGATGGTTCATGAAAAAATAATCACCCTGTATTATGATAATTAATTAGCGGAATTCTGGTACCAACACTGATAAAGATAACAATCACTGGAGCGCGGACTCGCTGCGTTCATAATATAATAAAAAACGAGCCGTGTCGAATACCGTTACTCCCACCACCGAATGGCAACTTATTTAAATGCGCATTACTTAACATTAGATTTTAGTAAACTTTAACTTAACGTTTCACAGAAACAAATGATCGTGACTGATCGAGTTTGGTTTCAAAATTTTTATCTTAATATGGGCTTGATATTGATATATTTTAAAACTATTGAAAAATATATATGTTTTTAAAGTCGCTTCAAAATACTTTCGAAAAGTCTTCCAAGTTTCGATTCCCGAGATACATTATGTATATTTTTATTCCAATCCAACTATGAATATTCTTTTATCTATGAATATAATATAAATTTATTTATATAGTATATACCTACTCGTAGTTACAAAATATAATACTAGGCAATATTTGTGTATCTTTTTATTCTTTTCAATTATCTTTAAGATAATAATACATAGGTATTCATTGGATTACCATTATACATAATATATTTGAATATATATTTAAAGGCATCCAATAATAAACAATTCTCAAAGAAGTGACTGAGGTGGAAAAATGGAATTGTGTACATATTACAAGAGAAATAAATAAAAAAATAATAATTATACTAAAAAAAAGTATGTATATAACCAAGATAACAAATATAATAAAATACAAAATAATAGTTAAAAAATAAATACAAATTTTTAAACAATATTAATTTAGATAGATAATTTGGTTTTTAAGGAAAATTTATTTTTAAATACTCGAGATATATTAAATTCTTTTTTTAAAATGGTGAATTCTAATGTTTACAAAACTTTAACTAATAACATGTATTCATGACTAGGAGTCCCTAAATCAACATTTATAGGTTGTGTCAGGAAAAAAAAAATAGTATATTTTGACCTTGGGTACTTTTTCTAGCACATTCTATATCATTTAATTTTACATTATTAAAAAAAAAATTTCTTTGACAACAATAACCTGGAATGTTTTTTCCAAATGTTCAATTCATACGAGCGATTTTAAAACATTTAATTTGTATTTACCTCTACTAACCGACTTTGTAAATGTTAAATTATTTATATAACTATGTTCAAATTGATTTTCAATTGACATATTGATATAAAAGTCACATACCAGTTTTGACATAGGTAATTCTTCTTACAATGCAACCAGACATATAATTTAATATTTCATTAACATATTAATTAACATATTAAATAAGTATTATTTAGTTGATCTAAAATTATATTAATGACAGTTTCATCTTCTGAATATGTTGTTTCATTTTGTACGAATTCTATGTTTTTTTTTCTGAACGAATTTCCAAAATTTTTCTGTCAGATGCTTCAGTATCACAACAATTACCATTCTGCGCAATTTATATGTTTTTACATTTTAGTTTACTTTTACAAATAATAGATGTCTCAAAGTATTTTTCAATTGGTAACAGTTGGGATTATTATTACACCTCTCTCTTGAACGAACATATGCAAAAAATAGTTCTAGATGATCTTATAAGAGTTAATATGTGAGAACAAACTTTAAAGATTTCTAAAGGACTTTAAAGGAGTTTTGTATAGTAGTTTATAGGAAATGTCTAAAGTAATTTTCATACTAGTGATAAATCCTATAACAAACATTACTCTGACATGGGTGTAAATTGGCCTGTCTTTTACCATTAATTTTTTTAGTTATTCAGTAGTACTATCGAATACAGATTCAATAGACTTAATAGTACCACTATTATAAGGGCTTTTAAAACCTATTTAAAAGGGAATTCTAGAGTTTAATATATCAAATAATCAATTTGTCTAATGAATTAAACTATTAATTCACTTCCTTAAAATTAAATATCTACTCTATTTTTTAAATAATTAATTGCATCTGTTACACCACTACTCAATGACTGAACTGCCAACCTAACTTTCATAATATTGTTTCTGTAATTTAACTGTAGTGATGTCAATTTATTTTCAAATCTCAAACCAATATTATTTATTGAACTACTAAATGATTTTGTATACTGCTATTCAATAAGACAACTATTAATTTTAAAAACACCTTTATCAGCCAAAAAATGCTTCGCAAGGGTTATTATATGACATGCATCAAATATAACATTGACTTCTAAATTACCAGCAATAAATGGCATTCGTTTCGTATGTGTTTTACCGTGAACTGTACTCCACAGGTGTTACACGTGGTATATAAATAAAGTAACATTCGGTTATAGTTACTTTACTTTATCGAGTACACTCAGACGATTTTTTTATACTGCAAAATGCTTAAAGATTAATGCGGGGATTTATATACTACCGAACTCGTACTAATTTACAGAGCCTTAGTGTTAAAAGATAGGCGATAAGGGCATTTCCCCCCGGGTAACTAAAGTTTTTTAAAACTATAGAGCGCCCAGTTCGATATAAAAAAATAAATACAATTAAAAATATCAAAATAATATCGCTTATTATAATTATAGTTATATATGAGTAGTAATAATATTGTTATTATTATTCGTAGTAAATATAATTATAATTGTTTAATTTTTAAACGTTTCGACTAGAACAATAATACTGGATATTGTTTAGATTTGAAGAGCCTAAGTATAACACGTATAGTCACACAATATATTATGTGTTTCTTTAAAAAAAGTTCAGGAGTAAAGAAGAATCGAGTTTGGTAGAGGTGAAATGTTGAAGTTTTAATGAAATTGTAAAACAAGAGAGGTGCTTAAAAATTGATGCTCCTGGGCGCCAAACGGTTTAACACGGCTCTGCCCGTTCGTATTGTAAAAACAGTTATCCTCAGTATTTTAGTGTTTAGTATATTAAATTAGATTATAAATTAAATTAAATTAAATTTCTAAGTATAAATAGTTAATTAATTTGTATCATGACTATTGACCTCGTCGTACTCTTAAAACAATATAAACAATATAAATTTACTGATACCATCGGTCCGATGGCATCTATTCAAATTCCTATTCTAGTTATAATAATGTTATGGAAATCTATAGTTCGTCTCATTAATTGGTTCTAATGTCAAAACTGATACATTTTATAAAACCGGCTTACCTTTACAGTATGCATACACCATAAAATCAATTTTAGGGTTAAATAATGCATTATATTATATATTTTAACTTTTGATTTCTGCAGTCGTGGAAATGATTGGGATTTGTAAGCGTATGGTTAAAGACGCACGGTATTCTCGAATGCTCAGATTATTTACGAAATTTAAAGAGTGTCTTATGATTGGTATTGACCAATGGCAATAATTATTTTGTAATGATCAAACATTTGGCTGATTATACTTGACTATAGTTATATAGGAACTGTTAACAAATATTTTACAATCCATACCTATTGTATAATTACAATTATCAAACTTGTACCTATATTGAAATAGATCTAATATAATAGACCATTGTATGAATATATTATTAATTTTGAAAATAGAATAACTCGGAAAATTTTCGTTCGAATTTCGATTTCAAAACTTTTAGAATAATCACAATTTATATTAAAACGTGTATGTTTTCGTTTGTAAAGCCAAAGTCGGTATTGCCACAAAATATTCCTTAGATGCCATGGAAAACCTATAACTATTCGAAAATATAGTCTTTCACTATGTTAAAAATTCCCCCCCCCCCCAAAAAAAAAATCGTATTTTTACGATCGTACTGAAAAAAGAAAAAAAACAACACTGTATAGTTAGTTTTTAATTCCACTATAACTCTTAAATTGCCCAACCGATTTAGGTGTGTGTGGTATCATTAGATACATTAGATTAAATCAAGTATGTCATATAAAATGTATTAAAAAAAAGTGATGCTTTTGATTAAAAAAAAAAAACAACGTGTCTAGAAAATACTATTATGCAGCTATACTATCGTAGAAATAAACGGCGTGGTGTAATATGAAGAAGATTGAATTTCGTTGTTGGTTTCTTTTTTTATTATTATTATTATTAATATGGTATAGAAAAATGAAATGTAATAGAAAAAGCAGTCGTTGACTGATACTTCTGACTGCGAGTCTATTTCATAATATTTCTATTTATTTTGTTCGTTTTTTTTCCACACAGTCGGGTTTTTTGATTTTTTAACATTGGTTTAGTTTTATACATCTGTTTTAAATGAAACGGATTTTTTTTTAACCACACTGATTACTTTAAAACAATAACTATTTCTTGTTTCTTGGAGTAATATAATGTCTAGCATAAAAAATATTATAAAGAAACGGTCTGTAATTGCTCCTCGTAAAAGATATAGTTTTAGTAAGTTTGGGTAAAACATTTTTCGGTAATTTCAAATTGAACATTGCGTAATTATTTGTATCTACAAATTAAAATCGAAATATCTTCAATAATTTAAAATAATAGCTAAATAGATAACAACAAAAACAAATTTAATATATCTTCTAAACGGTATCACGTTTGAAAAAGGTTCCAATACGATGAGTATTTGGTAAATCGTTACGACTATTTTTCACTACAATGCGACAAAAATACAAAATTTAAAACAGCAGACACCACTACGTTATTAAATAAATATTCCCGGGTTTTCGACAATACTGAGAAAACAAGGAAAATCCAAAAAAATGTTTTCATTAATGCACCGACTAAACAAAATTTGCCATTAGAAAACATGCCGTTAAAGTGGACGATCCGAGCCGGAATTCTGGTCTTAAAGTCGTTTACATTTAAAATAAGGGGTAGAGCAACCCGAATGGTTCTAAGACGAGGCGATGATTTTGTTTCGTGTTTGTTAGTGATTCTATAACGCCTAGCACGATAAAAATATTTTGTACGATTTTTGAGCTGCTATATTTGTTTCTTAAATTTTGAAATGGAAAATAAACCGAAAAATGTTCCGAAATTAACGTTTTTGAGTGTTTTGCGTTAGATTACATTGATTACCCTGTATATGAACTTACGGTACGAAAATTCACTATAATAATAAACGATCTTACGGCGATTTGTCGCGTAGTTTACATCATGAGTTTGAATTATTTTGGCGCGTACAAGTAAATATCTAGGTGTATATTATAATATACGTCATGATCGGGCATATTTTTACTTCATATTGTTACGATATTATAATATTTTATGCAACTCATGGAAATCATATTGATATTGTATTATAAACGATGTTACTCAGAATGCACAGTTATGTAGTATAACGGGTGTCCTCCGGAATCGTGTTTTATCTAGATGGCGATTTATTTATTTTTTTTTTTTTTCAATCGTACTACGATTATATATTGAAAATACATTATATCCGAGCCGCTGTCTGAGATAAACGATTGAATCGTCCGGGTGAATCTAGATTTATATACTTTTTAAGTGCGAAATATTCAATTTATATAATAAGAATGGTTCGAAAATCAAACAATAATGTATCAAGTCCATCATAATCAATCGCGCAGCCTTTATGCCGACATCCAGACGCTTATATCGATTTCGGGTAACCGGCAAATGTATTATTATTAATATTTTTTTTTCAACCCATTGACAATTATTGTCGTTCCCGACTGTTTTTATCATTATCCAGATTTATTTTTAAATACATCTACAACAACGCGGCGTCCTCTGTAATATGCGATATTATTGTACAATACTCGAATGTTCTACAATATATATATATATATGTGTGTGTGTGTGTGTGTGTGTGTATATAGTGTACAGAATAATGGCGTAAGTATACGAGCACGCTGTTTTCGCCATCAATTTTAAATATTCCGACGCTCGCCTGCTTATATTATAATGTTATACTGTTGCGATTTATATAGAACGCGTTGTGTTTTCCTGTGTGTAGGTATTGCAATTAAGTGCCGCTCGGTACATTTGCATATGAGTAGGTATGTGTATGGTATCTCCGTGCTAATACACAGAGGAAATAGTGCACCCTGTTTTATATAAATCATTACTATAATATCGTCCGCGTGTGACCGAGCGCATATTATTATCGACAATGCGTGCGAACGATGAAATATCGAGTATTCTCGGTCAATTAAAAAAAAAAAAAAAACAATTCGGTTTCAACCTTTTCGAATCTGGTCGATCCGTGCGCACGTGCGCATCGGTCTTTTTATACCGTACAATTGATTGTAGAAAAATGCGTTATCCTCTCGGATCTGCACAAGTCACCGACCGGTCTACTATACTAGGTTCTCGATCCGAACAAAAGGAGCTCGCAAGAGCTGTTTTTATACATAGCAGTTTAGACCCAATCGGCGAGGTGAATGATATAAACGATATTTATATCTAAACAGTATAAATGATAACAAATACAGATATTTTATTTAAGGTAAAAAAAAAATAATAATAATAATTTGATGAAGATAATTCAGATTTAAAATATAAGTATAAGTCCAATAAGTCTATCATTTTTTTTTTTTTAAATTATACAAATATGTATGTACAGTACGAAATAAAATATAACTGCATATTTGTGAGTTACGAACATTGGCTGATATACTGCCAGTGGATATACCACTATTGTAGGTGAGAAGTTGGGATAGTAGGATACTTAGGAAGACATTGAGTTATTTAATTCATATTTATATCCGTGTTGGAATTTTCGGCAAATTTTTAGAACTTTACAGTGAATTATGAATAAAATATTTAATTTTATTAATAATCATATATTATATGTCTTAGGATTTTAAGTATTACCATTTTATGTTTAGTACAAATATTTTCTGTTTTCGATTTTAAACTTTGTTTGTGTGATGAATGTTTTTCGCTGATTTTTAGAGCGCGGTATTATCCGTTTGAGTGGTATTTTTAAAAATTGTATTTGCATCTCATACATACATGGTTTTCGGTCTCCGCAATAAACTTTACATGTTGAAAATTAGACTTCATTCCGTGATTTACGATGCAAAATGAAACTTTTATCTGTTTGTTTCTGAAACGTTTTACCGTATTATTAGATTGCCAATGTTTCGATATCAAAAACGTTTTTCAAAAACTGATTTGTTAGCCTCGTGTGTAACGATATTTTCTCAACGGATTTGTGATTTATATGTGCACATATGAATAATTTTTCGACGTAGTTTCCGAGTACGATTATCAGTTATTATGCTAAGTGAATCTGTCCGAACCATAGAGATCCGGGTATTATGAATAGTGAATAATGTTGATTGTATGTAGGCATAGTTTTGAAGGATTAAATTTAAATTCGTAATTTTATTCATCAAAAGTTAACATTCAATCGTAAATTACCAAAATTACTTTTTATTTTTTATTTATTTAATATCTACCGAGTAAAAACGAAAACGCAAATCTGGTGTATTGCAATTGGTTCAATAAGGTTTTTTTCTCTAAAGGCGCGTATTAAGTAAATTTTTGATTTGCGAAAACGTAGAATTTACTTTAAAGTTCAACCGCAATAGGAATTATGGGTGCAAAAATGATTTATTTTTTCCGCAGATCAGTGAAACTTAACTCGGGGCGTCAAAGACAATAATTTCTATTATTATAATAGGTATACTGAAACATTATTATTTTTCGACAGTTTAAACAGATAATATAGATAAATACAGGTATACAGCAATTATAATAAAATTTTTGTTTCGCGAATCGCGATTTATTATTGTTGAACGCTGTTTTACTTGTGACGGAACCGCCATCTTTACGTCGCTAATGTTAACCACACATTTTTACGTTTATGATCGTTCGGTTTCGATTCTACAACAATATTATGTAGGAAACAACTATACGGACAAATAACGATTTATGATCGTATGAAAAAACTGTAATGTAATATTAAATAATAATAACAATAACAACAGGATAACTGGCCATAAATTAACGCCTAACTCGGAGAAAACCAAAAAAGTAAGCATATAGACAATAATGTGTCGATAACGATTTCGGAACATCTATTATTGCAATTTTACAGATCAATCATAATAAACAAACGATTTTAAATCGCCGCTTTGGATGCAAAACCGTACTGTCGAAAAGCAAAAAAAAAAAAAAAACAAGAGATCGAATCAATAAAAATTATGTAACCACTATATTATGTTGAGTAGGCAATGTCGACAAATAATAACACTGTAATACACATAGATACCGTTTAAACGATAATGTAAATTCTAAAATATTACTCAAACGAAGAGCCAGAATTAAAGAAAACGTCCAATCTAAACGTATATTGAAACAAGATGTAAATAATAATATTATGTTACGGTAAATGTTGTAAACAATAGGTTAACGTCGTTGTATTTAAACTTTTTTGTGCGCTAGAATCGATTTTGTGCTGTTAGTTTTAGCATTAGGGTGTATTTGCCTAAATGATCAAACTTAACGGTTAAGAACTTTGTCCATTTTTCTACGTTAATTTTTTTGTTTTACGAAATTTTAATTTTCAAGCGAGTTACGAATACGTGAAAAATTACAATATTTCATCTTAAATCGCCTTAAAAAATTAGTTAAAAAACTGCTTAAATTGTAACGAATTACTTATTAAAAAGTTGGATATTGGTTTAAATATTATTAATGAAAGTAAAAACTGATTTCTATTATCACGAAAATGCCATTAGATAATCGGAATTTAAAAATATATTACGTAGTCTATAACCATATAGTTGAAACGGATGATACCCATATGCGCGGTTATCGAGTATAGAATCGGCAGGTACCTTCAATGGGCATAACCGTTTTCGGTTAGGATTTTGCCATAGCGCTCGGGCGCTGGGCGACACTGACAATCGCCCGTCATAAACTTGTACATAAAATGCAAATTATGATTAAAATACAAAAACAAAAGATGGCGGGGGGGGGAGGAATTCTGTAATAATTCGGCCGCCGAAGCGACACGAATAATCGCCCGACATTCACGCGGACCACATAACAATTTAAAATTTAAAGTATATTTCACCGTTCGTGAGTTTATACAATTGAATATGTATACATTAAATTATATCCTTTTTATCATTATATTAGTGTACGATTATATTATTACGGGTAGAAGTTCCGTTTCGAATTTAATGGCAAACCGTTTTTGTTCATTTACATATGAACAGAAAATCGAAACTAAACAACCCGGAAGACTAGCGGCCGATTTAAAAGGATTGATCAATAGAGCAAAAAAAGGTAAAAGTGAATACACTCGTCACTTTAATATAGATGACTATGCAAAACACGAGTGGTTGGTTATGTGACTGTGACATAAAACTCGACCTTTTTGGTTTTCCTTGCATATATTTTGGTGGTGACATGTCTTGGTTTAAAACAGGAGTAAATCTTTTGGGTCATCTATCGGGAAAGATTAAAACACACGAGAATTCATTTATTAATTTACAAAATGAAACTAATCTTAAAGTACTTGGTACCTTTTATACGTTGGATAAAGTAAACTCGGGTTACACAGTTGGAATACAACGTTATAATCAAGAAATCGATAACAATTGTTATATTTTAGACAAAATTCTAAACTGTATAAAATTTCGTGGAAAACATAATTTACCACTAAGAGGTTACGATGAAAAAATAAATTCTGAAAATAAAAGCGTTTTTCTCGGTGTAGTTGAGTTATGCAAAGATTTGGATATAAGCCTACGTAGTCGTTTTGCAAATTCGAAAGTGTTTAAAGAGACTTCTAAATTAATAAAAACCGATTTGTTAGATTGTATACTTTTCGTAGCCAGAAAGCAAATTTCACTTGAAATAAAAACTGCGCAATTCGTTTCTATAATAGGTGATCAGGCTACTGACATTTTTAATAATTTTCAGTTAATTATAGTATTTCGCTATGACATAAAACATTAACCGGTAAAACGATTTTGGGGGTTTTCAAATCCTGAAGGCCTCAATGCAGAATCATTAACATTAACAATATTATCTGAAATAAAACTTATTTTAAAAAATACGCCTAACAAACTAATAGCGCAATCGTATGATCGGGCGGAAATAATGAGTGGAAAAAAAGTGGTGTTAACGTTAGAGTAATGGAATTTCACCCATACGCGTATTACATTCGTTTTTATGTACATCAGTTAAACTTAATTATGACAATCTGTTTCTCAAAACAAAGAAGTTAGGATATAATTTTCAAATTTATCAGAAATACTGATTGTTTTTTCGAATTCACCGCAAAGAGTAGCGGTATTAGACAAATTAGTTGGCGTTCGGTTACCATGGACAAACTAGATAGAATTTTTATATTCGTCGTACTGTTAATACTGTTTATGAGTATAAAAAATGAAATAATAGAGCGCATGGACAAATTAATAGAACTATCCCAACAAACATTAACAATTAATCAGGCAGGGTCAATTAGACGTTTGTTGAGCGACTCAGTATTTTTTTTCTGGCTAACTGCTTTTCATAAAATAATGCCACATATAGACTGTCTATATAATAGTTTTCAAGCTGTAAATATTGACCCAGTACTAATAAATAGTTCAGTTGAAAAATGTATAGAGGAATTAATCAAAATTCGAAATAATGTAACATATTATTGTTCAAGCTTTGAATATGCCCAATATAAATAATAAAAACGATGTTTGCAATCAGATGAAGAAATTAATACATCTCGAAAAAGTTTAGTGTTTAAAGTCTGCAATATATTAACTATCAAAACTTAAGATCGTTTAGAATTTAACTAACATTTAACCGCTGCTAACTTATTTAAAGCCAAAAAATATTTGGAAATTTCTAAAATATTTCCACTTGAATATTTTGAATCCACAATTAAATGCTACCCGTTTTCCGGTACAGAAAGGTTAAAATCTGAGCTTGAAATTTTGTATTCTCGAAATGACTTTCGAACTTTGAATGGAATAATAATTACGCTTAAATATATAATAGAAAATTATATGAATGAAACTTTTAAAGAAGTTTTTACATTGTTAAAAATATTAATAACAACTCCTATGACATCATCTGAAGCCGAAAGATGTTTTTCAACACTCAAAAGAATTAAAATATGTTTACGAAGCACAATTGGAGAAGAAAGGTTAAATACTTTAGCAACGTTTAGTATTGAAAATGAAATAATTTCCAACGACGCAGATTTTAATAAAAACGTTGTTGATACGTTTAATGAAATAAAAGATCGACGTTCAGATTTTAAACATAAAAACATATGAAAATATGCATAATTTTGTGATTTTCTTATTTTAATTTTTCGTAATACAAAATTATAAATATGTATAATATGTATAATACCTATAATTTTGTTTTTCTATATGGTATTAATGTTGGCTTATTAATAATCTTTTATATTCATACATAATTGTACTCAATTATAAAAAAAAATTTCATCGCCCTCCCATTTTCAAAGCCCACGAGTCGCCTCAGGTATGTGTGGACCTATACAACGCGATTGATCCTCAATAAGACCATTATTACCGCGGAAAGTATCGACTTTTTCCGGACGATTAATAAAACCGGCGGTTTCGATTGATGATAATTTATTTTCACTTACATTTTACTATATTAAATCGATAATTTTCAGGGGGGGAGGGGAGCGTATCTGTCGATACGTTTTTTTTTCTTGTTTCGCGAAAACTACATTTGTTTTACTACATTACACGTTATTTTTTTTTTTTTTATATTTTCGTCTTTTTGACATTTTTATAACAAAAAAAATTACAATATTCCCATATCTATAGAAATCGTCCAATATAATATTCAAGCGACAATATTGTTATATTTTCGACGCACACATAAAGTTAGTATAAGTTGTGTCATCTTCGAGTGTATAAAATACATTGTATACATACCTAGTACCTATATGTGTACTGTATACGTCATATACGACGATATGATGTATCGAATGTGCATTAGACGGGAAACATTATATTATTTGCATTGGCATTTTTGTACGACCCTCTACACGCTGAAAACTATCGAAGATATTGTAATAATATATTATTACGATATATGATTTTATTTTGAAACATACCTACACTATACATTTTTTTATTTTGTTGACGTTTTATACGACGATACGACAACAATAAAATTGTTTTCGGATCCATCATCGTTTTGCAGTTTTAAATTACCAATATGCAACCCATTAAGAGTTGAAGGGAGGGTTAAAGGAAGGACATATCACATCACCCCCCTCCCTCGGAAAATAATAAAATATATACTAAAAATACAAAGTGATGCGTGGACCACTGTTGTAGGTAAAAAGTTGGAGAGGTTTAATGGAAAATTTAATGTTTATCCGTACGCAATGTTTAATTATTGTTAACAAAAAATGATTTTGAGCGGAGTTCGGTTATACACATATTTTGAAAAGCCGTGATATTTACGATTTTTGTCAAAAATTTGATATTAAAATCCTCACGAAAAAATAAAAAATACTACATTAAACTCGACTTTTTATTGTTAACCACTAAGTAATAATGAAGTTAACTTAATTAACTAGTAATGAACCTCCTGTTAAATTTTTAAGCATTATTTCTGTTTGATCTAACAATTTTATTATCATAGTACCAACAGAATAAATATTAAAGGAAAACATAATGTTTTTGTTCAAATTTCAAGTTTCTACGAATAAATTTTAAAACTGAATTACAACAAAACGAAAAAACAAAATTCAAAATAATAAAACCATTATTTTTGTATATATTCCAGTTTTTCCCGTTTATTATGAAAACCCCTGAACAACTAATAAAATAACCTACCTTTAAGTACCACTCTAGGAAAATTCCTTTCCACGAAAAGTGTTGAACTGTAAAATCGGAAAAAAATGTCTGGTAGAAAAATTGTTCACAGAAAAAAAAAAAGCTGTGGTGTTTACGATTATTGGCACTCAGTATATAAAGCCACATACATTTGCTTTTAAAAGATTTAAATAGCTGCTGTTTGAAATTTCACAAACCACCACCGAGTTTTAAATAAATTGGATATTTTCATAATATGTTACTGAATATAATTACTTATATTCGATGGTCTAGACTCTAGACCGTTGTTCAAACAATTAATATTTAATGGAGTTTTACATCAAATATTATCGACAGTTTGAAATGCGAGACTTTGGAAAACGTATTTTTGTTTTAATTCGTTATTAATTGCTGTATTTCGGTAGTTTTTGTTTTTATTTTTTTTCTTCATAGCTGTTCGTGCAACGTCCACGTACATATTTACAATGTCTCGACCATCGCTTCACGATGCTATTATACATTAGCATAAATATTGTATATTCGCTTCGGTTTATAAGTCAATTATAAATTAATTATAAAAACTTGTATTTCGTTATACACGTGTTCACACTTTTAAATAACAAATAAATAAAAAACAAGCATCGCAAATTAAATATTAATACTATACGAATCACTTCGCTGTAGATACACGCCAGTTATTATTATAAAGATGTCGTTTTCTCGGCAAAGAATAAAACAACGTTCTTTTTATTCCGCTCGGATATTTATTTTCACAGTAGTATTCTAGTAAAAAACCTGTGTTTTCAATAACAATTACAGACTTTTGTTATAACGCGTGAATTGAATAGGTACGAGTTTATTTTCTCTGAAAGAGTACCTATTGATTTATATATTAAGACTTTAAAAAAAAAAAACAAAAAAAAAAAAAAAAAAAAAAAAAAAAACGTAAGCATCACGGGTATACTGTGACGCCGTTGAACTTGCCCATCAATATGTTATTGTGGATCGAAAGAAGAACTTCTATTCTATTCTGCGTTGAGTTTTCGAGAGTTTAACAATACGAATATAATATTATATACTTATTCCACTCGTACTATGTCGGGTATGCGTAGTTAACTACTCCGGGGGTCTCCGGTGCAGTCTTGTAGTCTTCTTGAAATTTGTTTAGGTATGATTCGTTGTGCAGCATAAACGATTTGTTACACGACTATAAAACGAAAAAACAGAAAATTTTTATCGATTTTATACGAACGTACGCAGAACACGATTATATTGTACTATATTATATTTTATAGACGTTTATATTTGTTCAATTATTTATTTCTAGTCGAACGTTATAAACAGGGTTCCGGACATGGCGTTTCCTTATTGTGTGAGTTTAGCATTTAACCTTGCACTGTGCTGTGGAAATGTATTTCTTGTTACGAGTTCAAATATGAAATTTTTTTTCAATTCAATAGTTTTTTTTTTTTTTTTTTGTTACTAATTTTTCTGAATTCGTTTTGGCTTATTTTCCGCTTTATGATCACGAAGGCTAATGATCAAAACCCAGATTTGTCCACCTATAGTTTTTAAATAATTTCGTCTTTCAATTAAATTACTCAACGCGTATTTATTTGTTTTCATTAACTTAACTTCTTGTCATGTTCTCTTCAAGTGATTTTTATTTGTATTTTTAGTGTTATAAGCCCCAAATCCTTGTTCAGTGGCAGCGCGAGCTCAGTCTGAATAGGTAGTCATAGGTTTTTTTTTTAAATAGGTTAGCGTTAGATAATCAAATAGGAAGTTGGTATGTAGTTGAAGTAATTTTCGCAAAAGGCGAATTTTTTAATAATAAAAATATAATATTTAATTATCGGGAACATATTATAATGTGGGTTTTTTTTTTTTTTTTTTAATTAACGGGTAGTTCGGTGAGTTGAATAATTTCACTCACCTCACTAATGATACAAGTTCACACCGCCATTGTCTGGTTATAAGCATCGGCTTACCATATAATATTTTAACCTATAAGACCACAGCACTCTATTGCTATTACGGTCGTGAGGTTAACCCTATCATAACAACGTAACCATATCGTTTATGTAATAGACAATATTTCAGAATTAAAGTTTTGATATGGATGTTGACGATAAATGATAATTTGGAATTCAAAATTTCAAAATTGTAATGCGTTTGATATCGGATTTGAATACCGTTCGACGCGCGTGTTTATGATTAACGCGCGGACACGATAATAGATGGTAATTGAAATGTATACGGTCCGGGCGTGTACATACGCGTTTGTATACAAGTGCGAAAGCGTTGTCATATTGTAATTTTAACCGGGCAATATTTCGATTAATCGAAACCCGAAACGACGGACAGTGTGCGCGTGCGCCCGACCGGACTGTTATCGAGCATCGTTAATTCGGGCCCGCGTGCCCGTTTTGTGCGAGTGACGATAAATAACGTGCGCGTCGGAACCGGTCCCGGCAACAAGGCGACAATTGTGAACGCGCGGGGCGATACGGCGGCGCATGTGCGTGTGTCGCCCGTGCGCGACGCGACGCGACGCGGGACAAACGGAATCGATTGAAAGAGCGCGGGCGCGGCGGCCACGATTTTCGTTTATTCATTTTTCGGACGGCTGCGTAATGGGCACAGCACCGTTCTCGTTGTTGTCGACGTGATTGGCGCCCGCCGGAAATTCGTCAGGCAGGAGCAGCGTTCCTCTTGGCCATTTTTTTTCTTTCTTCTTCTTATTCTTATAAACAACCCCAAACGAGAACCCTTTGAAGAACCTTTGGTCGACTCAGGGAGGGGCGTGACGAAATCAAACACCAACGAAATCCGTATAAAATTATCCAACTATAGGAATTGTATTTGAAATTTTTAAGTCCAGGGGGGCAAATGCCCCGTCTTGCCTCCCGCTCCGGGGGTCCGTCTCATATCAGGGTACTGCGGGAAAAAAAACCGATCGCGTTATATTACGCGAGTATTACATTATGGTAAGGGTTATGAATGGATAATAAATATTTCGCTTGACATTTTTACGTTTAACATATTTCAAACGTGGAATTTCACGCGGCACGAAATATTGAAAAATACATTTTTTTTTTTTTTTTTTATTATCTGTTCATTGGTTCGGTTTCTTATCATTTTTATATAAATACTAAAAATACTGAAATACTGTTGTAGTTCGGGTCAATTCGGTTTGAACTTTATGCACTGTAAATGTTATTCAAATTGGCTCTGTGCAGTAATAAACACATATTATTTATAATGTCAAAAATTAAAAGTAAATGGACAATATTTCCAGACTATTGCTAATATTGTAAATATTTTAAATTTGTCGTTAACAATTTCTTAAAAGTTATATTAGCTCGTTTGTTCATAAATCCTTGAATTTTCTAGATTTGTCTCGTATATTAATAATACGAAGAGTTTTGTTTTCATAAATCAATTATATAATTGGTGTCTATTTTTGGGTTACCTTGATAACAATGGAAAATATACGACTAATAATACTCAGCAAAGAATCGCTTTTGGTTAGCAATGGTATATCGTTGCGTACAGATACTACTGGATTATTCTATACTATATTCATGCTTCCAAACTATATTTTTAAAATAGCGACACGTCCATAAACATTATCGGCCTTATTTGCATACAGCAATTTCCAAAATGTTATTAAAACGAAATAATAAAATAACTAAATACCTAGCCGAATGTATGATAGAATCACTCATCATACGAGATATGAGGTCATTAGGTATGTATTCCGCATGGGTGAACTGAATTGACTGACTCATGAAATAAATGTGCATGCCTCGAACTACGGGATAATATTAGAAATTAATGGCGATGGATTTCAAATATTTTTCATATTATCGCATAATTCTAGACGCAGACATATATTTCGCCAGTTGATAAGTAAAACGTGTCTTCTCGGTAAATTTTAACATTATGACGACTGCTTCCAGCTGATTTACTCCTAATATACCTAATAATAATTGTTTTATGTATTGTGCCTGCGATTAAAACGTCAATTGGAGTAGTGTTAATTAATATGCAAATATATAGTATCAAAATTAACAAAATTAATTTTGGTTTTTTTTTTTTTTTATGTTCGTAATACTACACGATAACATTATTAACTCTTCGTTGTGTCTCCTTTACAGGTAGCGACGAAGACGAGAAGCAGACCAATTCGGACGACGAAAAAGTCCGGTCCGGTAACGGGCGCCGGACGCAACTCCAAGTGGTCAGCCGTCTGCTGGAAGTTAACCGGACCAAAGTGAAACGAAAACGACGCAAGTCGTGGACCGGTCCGGTGGGTCGGGAGGGTCCGAACGGCGGCGACGGGGTCGGACCGTGCCGGAAAGGCCACAGCCTGGACCAGGGCTACGAGACGACCCATCACCATAACCGCGACCATCACCAGGATTTGTCGGCGGTCCGGTTGTACCACCATGCCGGCCTTTTCCGGTCGTTCAGCACCAGTAGCGGCGGCGCTGGTGACATTAACGGCAGCGTGGTCGTGCTAGACGGCGGTTCCGAAGGCGCCAACGGTTGCCACGTGCCAGGGGCCCGTCAGTTCAGAACCCCATCGGTGGTGGTCAGCGACCATTCCGAGGATCCGGTGTCCTTCTCGTCCATGTTCACACTCGACGACCTGGATGAACTAGAAACCCGTCCCGACTGCGGATTCAACGATTCGTCATCTGACTGCAGTGCCGCGAGCACTTGGAGCGCCGCGGGCAGCGTCATCAGCGTGTTGGACGCCGACTATTCCCTGCACACGCCCGAGCGCAGGATATCCGGATGCAGTACGTGTAGCGGCGGCGAAGATGACCAGGACGCGGAGTTCAGGCCGACCAAGTTGAAGCCAAAGGTCAGTGTTATTCGCATTTCTAAACCCAGTCACCCAGTGACATTTTCGTCGTGAAATACATGCACGATCGCAATGGTTTATTGGGCAGTCATATCGAAAACGACCGTGTGCGTTTTGTATTATTGACTTTTGACGCTTTTCCGTAATTGTATTTCTACGGCCACTATAGTTCATTCAATTAGTATTATAATCGTGTACGATGGGGCGATTTACCTAGTTCTGATTCTATAAAATTGAAAAGACAACAAGATAACTAATATCGAGCCATAAATATTTGACCACTTATAATTTGCATGCGGTTTATGGTCGTTTGAAACCGCTTAGATAAAGTTATAAACGAAAAATCGGTAAATCAAATGATCGAGGTAAAAAATTGTATTTTATTTTCGAATAACGTTGTTTTCGAATTCTGTTCAATAAACACGTTTTATCGTCGTGAACATTATCACAATAATAATAATAATATATTGCCGTTTAAATCGTCCCGTTCTAATGAAATCGAATCGAGTGTGTAAGAAGAAAAACTGCTATTTAATTTGCATGGGCGTTTAGGCATACAAAGGGTGATTAGAATGTTTGATCTCCCCCCCCCCCCCGGTTTCAAAATTACTTGGGAATTATTTTTCAACTCCCGACGATTCACTCGTATCATAACTAATTGATAGACAAAACAACTTCGGGTGGGGGTGGAGATTGTGCCGATCCCTCCCCCCCCCCTTCATAAATAATCTTTAATTACCCGTATGATTTCACCTTTATTGACTTCGCCGTTATTAAGTCTGTTGTTGTCGTCGGACACGTTACAATTTTCGTTTGTGTCGCGCATGTGATAATTAGCTGACGATTACCTATTTATTCATTATCGTGATTGGCCAATGGAAAAAAAAAAAAAAAAACGATAATTTCGTTCGACAATATTTAGGTACAAAAGTTTATTGATAATAATAATAATTAGATTGTAGTAAAAGCGAACCGTGCGTTGTGTAACCGAAATGTTCGCGCGCGAGTCGCCTATGGAAATAGATTGTTGTTCTCATGGTTATACCTTCTCGTATTATAGTAAATCCACTCCATTAACGTTCACGGTTTAAAAAAAAAAATGATCACTATTATAATAAAGACCGGGTGTAACGATTATAGGTAAATTTATTTTAAAAATTAATTTACAGCCAGTAAATAAAGGTAATAGTCGCGGTCGTTTTTTTTTTTTTTTAAAGTAAGATGAATAGGGAATAGTATTGTTATAGACTATTATAGTTTAGGTACTTATTCTTTAAAAAGAGCTTTATGAACTGCAGTGTATTGCCCAATTTTTTCGTTTTACTGATTTTTACTTGTAGTTATCAATATTTGTTTAAATTTAATACGTTAAACAATAACATTAATAATTAAAAAAAAAAAAAAAACATGAAAAAATTTGTTACGATACTGTTTTACGGCATTATTTTTAAAGTCGAATCCGAACAGTTCTTATTAAAATCCACAAAAACAGGTCTAAATCAAACCGAAAATTTGTGGTTTATGTAAAAACTAACAGTTTCATATTGGACTGAGTGAGTTTTAATACTGAATCCCATTTACCCGTGTCGAAAATCATATGATCTTTAATATAAAAACTCGCTTATTTAATTTAAAATTCTATTGAAAATTAGCCTAGACGATTCTTGAACCAAAAAAAAAAAAAAAAAATGTAAGTAACAATTTAAGTCTTAAACGTTGAATTTCTCATCATAAATAGCCTATTAAAATACATTTTAGATTTCCTTAATTTACAGAAAAACCCTTTCGAGTTTGTGTTTTGTCAACCGAAAACTATGATTTTTGGACCAGACTAATTTCAATTCCAGCCTGCTCATATATGAACTGCAGTATATAAATAGAAATTTTGAAAGTGGGTGGTGTGAGTATTTCGGAAAGTCGGTTAACGGGAGCGAGATGACTTTTAAAAAGTTATTGAAAAATTCAATTTTTTGTTAAATTAACCTATTGTAAACTGTTTATAAGTAAATTGTTTTAACAATTTATACGTAACGTTGGTAGGCAGTAAAGTTATGAATGCCGTCGTAGGATCGTATTAAAAAACATAATAACTATTTTTGTTAGACGATGAGCGTTTTAAACAATACTAAGTATAACCAGTTTTAACTTTTAACAGTTTAAACAAGTTTTTTTTTAATCTTTTGTTTTAATCCTATATATTTTTAATTTTTAATTTAATATAGTAATAATAATTTTATCATCGTGAAACCGATTTGATTTTGAATAATCACGGTTTTTGAAATTTAAAAAAAATGATGGTGAAAAAAAACCCACACAATACGCCCGTAACGTCAAAATGTAAATATGAACAACTGTATAATGAGAGGAAAACAGATAAAAAAAAAAAATACCTACTCACACATAATATAATTTGGTCACGTTTACATTGCCGCCGGTGTATCTATAAAATATTATGCTGCTGGTGCAGTCGGCTTTCGTATGTTAAATAAAAATTATTATGTCGGGCTCGAACACTGATAAGCATTATTATTATTATTATTATTATTATTATCATACAGGTTATGTTTAGTTTCAAAGGTCAGCGGCGGCGATTTGGTTGCGAGAATATAAAGATGCCCCCGCACCACAGCGTGTCGTCCAAAATGAGCTGATCACGTGACTCTGGATAGCTGGTCGAACCCGGTTTCTGGTGGTTATAGTGGTCGTTTCAGATAAGCTGTACCGAAATTAAATAATTTGAATTTCGTATTTCCAAACACGGTATTTTGTGTTTCGAAATTCTGAGCAGTTTTTTCGCGACACTAAAAAACCAAAAGTTGTACATATTTCGTAAATAATATGCGTGCGTGTTTATACTGTGTACCTAATGCGTGCATTTATCGAATTAAAATTGCGCTATTAATTTATGAATTCATACGAAATAATATTGTCCAATAACTTTCTGGCAGTTACTGTACCTACTCGAAATATTAGGGTCAGTCCCCTACGTATTATTCTTGTTAATATCATATGGTAAATAATACACAATATTGGTATCAAATATAGAATTGACGAAGTAATTTATAGACACCCTGTATGTTAAAAGGGTTCTATTTTTCCAAATTCTGTATTGCACTTACTAAATTTAAAAACATTATTTTTGACTTGTCGGATATAATAATTATGAGCGACTGAGCAAGATAAACTTAACTGCAACTCGAATGATATAAATTTAACAAAATTTCCTTTGCACGAATTCGTTTTAATGTTTTTAAATTATGAATTCTAAAAAGTGTGTCAGTATTTGTTCTACAAGGTTTATTATATGCAATTCTTAACGAGTATTTACAGATGTTAATAACAATTTTAAGCGTACTTCATAGGCACCACTTCATGCGTATATTCCATAAGAATACACAGACTGTGTTAGGGCACATAAAACCATCCGCATTGAGTTTGGTAGTGAAACACTGTTAATTATTTTGAACTTACTGTACATATACCTAATTTTTTTAACTTCTAAATCGATGTGCATATTCCATTCTAGGAAACTATTAATAATTATTCCTAGGTATTTAACAGAGTTTTCGGACTTTATGGAGGTAGAGTTACAGGTAGTTTATAACTTTATAGTCTAAATTGTTTTAGTCATGTTTTTAATGCATTTATTAACACTTAACATATTGGCTTTAGAAATAGAAAAGGAATACAAGTTGTTTTGCTTAAATTTGTTTCAATATAATTTGCGATAAACCATAAACCAACTGACATCGTCCTCCAACAATATTTTATTATTATTTAATACTTGAATAATATTAAAATAAAATATGAGACAATTAGAGTTTTGAGCGATTGTTTTATAACTGATTGCAATTTTTGACAACCCGGATCATCAAACAATTTAAAACTACGTTTACTGTGTTCGGTTAGGTACTGGTTATCCGTTGGCCAAATTCTGTGAGGTAAACAAAACTTTTTCGGCGATATCGTAACCATGTAGCAAACGCTTTTTTGTTTTTGTTTTTTCTTATGATGCAGAACCATTACAAGTTACTTTGTTATGTACATATGTCAGAATAATTAAATTGTTATTATTATTAATTTATTTTAAATTGGATTCTCCGTCTGTAAAATAAATAAATAAACAGCAAAACACCCAGGTTGTGATTTTTTTTCCTCTTAAAGTTGTTATTGACAACTCAAAATTATTATTGAAAACTTGGATATAACATTATTGGTAATATGGTTAATGAAATGAGCAACCAAACACGTAGCTAATTAATACGTCGGATTTTTATCACATCACGATGTGATAAGTTTGCGCTGATATTAACAATAACATTATTTTGGTAGTATAATACGTATCGTCGATAGCTTCAATAAACTGATAATAATATTGTTATCGTATTGTTATACTATAGAAAACCCAATATAGTATTTCGTCCTATTGTTTTCGTACATAGAGGGAAAAGAATATTATTTTTTTATTTTTTTACTTATCTAAAGAGATAATTCTACCGTAGCATGGCCGTATACCTGCACTCCGAGTCAAGTGATTGAACGTTTCTTTATTTTATTGTGCAACTATAATAACGTTCCTATACTGACGTCAAATAATTAACTACTTGATCGTATTTCCTATTTTATATATTATATTTATGATTTTATGATGGCACTTAAAAAAAAAAAAAAAAAAAAATCTTAATACTATTTTACGTATTAAATTATATTTTCAAATAAAACATATTACAGTAGTGATAATAGAGAAAATATATGCTATGAAATTATTAAAAAAATAATGAACAATAACATAGATTAACATTATACAAATGGATGAAGAAATGTGGCTCATCGCTGACTTATTAAATTCAAAAAAAAGTCCATTAAACGTGTTAGTTAGAGGCTAAAAGACATGGCCCAGAGTCAACTTAGGAGACTCAATTTTAAGTTTTACCAATATTATGATAGTCAAAAAGAATCATCAAAAATTAATGATCAAGCCAACTGTATTGCACCATGTGGTGAAATCGTTGAAAGTTTTTTGAACAATTAAACCGTTTTTATTGTATGCTTTAATATGATAAAATAAATTATTTGAGTACCTAACTATTGTTAATTTTTGAGACTGTATGTTTACAATACGTCATTTCTAATCAATAAATGATAATGGCGGCGTATACGACAAGGATTCTCGAGAATTGTTTCTGTTTGCTTTCGTGTATCGGAGTTTAAGTGGGTATATAAATATAACTTCACGTATCACCGCTGGAAGTTATTTTGCGTGGAATTCAATGGACGTGTAAAACTATTTGAGTTTTACGATTTATTTGTTATATATTGATGTCATAGTAACTGAATAAGAAAATAACACGATTGATGATAGTAAAGATGGTCTTTACTTTCGATTGTTAAATTATTGGATAATATAATCTTACTTTAACATGTGTTTAGAGCTGTCGAGCTTTTTAATTTCATATAACCAGATAACTCCGGAGTTATCTTGTTTTTCCGCTAAAATATTTAAGTAATACCCATATTAAAATAATGTAATTTTTTTGAACTTTAATTCGACGATAATAAATTTTATAACTATTTGAATTATATAAATGTATATTTGAATAGTGGCATGCCCAGAAAGTTCCATCAGCTTTGTTAATTTTAACGAAAAATGTACACTTTTTACATAGAATTTACACTTTTTAATACATTTTTAATAACGAATACATTACTCACACCAGTCACACCATCAAATGTGTTGGTGTCGAATCTACACCGTAGTGTAAATTCTATGTAAACAATTGTACACTTTTTGTTAAAACAAAAAACAAAGCTATTAGCAGGAGATGTAGTGAATGATAATAATCAAGGTTCATAAATAAATCGTAGAATCGTATTCTGTTATATCAATCCCGACAATGAGAATTTATAAAAGTCCGATCGTAAAAGGACAATTTTTGTTCGAATAATTTGACTGAAATATTTAATTTCAAAATACAATTATTAAATTAATAACCGTAGTTATCGTATATTAAGTAAATCGGGAGAGGGTTTAACCACCGCACCCGCGCACGCCACTATATTTATTTGTTATATACTTCAGACATAGTATTAATTTTAAATATTTAATATCTGCTTCTTGCACAATTTTAAAAACTGCAGTTGTACGATGGTTATTGTACACAGTCTTTCAATTTGATTTACCTCGAAATGTATACTGAAAAAAAAAATACACGAACGGTGAAATTAAACATAAAACTTTATAATCTTTCGAATTTACAATGAACAAAATTCTATACTTTGTACTATATTGTACAGTGTTGCAGTTGAGGTAAACGAGAATCGAAACGAGTTTTCAATACCCGGTTTCTTTGTATCTCACTTTTTTTTATACTTATTTTAAAGTTTTTCTTTTTCAAAGCTTTATAATTAGTTTTGTATTGTGAACAAAGTTTCCGTTTATGATATTATACAGTAGATACATTAAATAGGTAGGTAGCTAATAACTGAGGTTTATTATATTATTATATTTATATAGAGAAATAATTTAAATTTAATAACGAAACATAAATAAATAATTAAAAGTTTTTTTTTTTATGCAATTTTCGAAAGAATATTATTATAAATACCTACCCAATAAAAGCTGTCGACATTTTGTCAGAAATAATAATAATTGCATGTTACCATAATATGTTTTATGCTAGTTTAAAAATAATTGCATTTCATTGAGTACTACTTGAAAAATTACAAATTTATATTTTTCATGAAATAAGATGTGTGTTATATTATAGTTAAATTATTACAGTCATATTATAGTTAAAAACGAATATTCCGATTCGTTCTTATCATCAAATGACTTTTTTCTCGACTTGGGCAGGACAAGATAAACAAAATTAATAAATAAAAAACAAACTAGCTTTTGTATTATTTTTCACTACACTTGTCACTATTATTTTTTTTGGATAATTATACAGACAAGGGGTTACCATTTTTGAGATTTTTTTTTTATTTATTCTTCACTTAGTTTAACGGTTTTAAAGCGCTTATATAATCGAGTGTTTAAGTGGTGTTTTTTTTCACGATTTTATGCGCTTGAGTCTCATATCGAACCCCGATAAGTGTGATAATAATAAACATCACGGTGTGACGGCTTGTAAATTTTATTGATAAATTTCTATGACGTCGTGTTCCTTTACTGTCAAGTTAGTATTAAATTAATGGTGTAAAACTGTCCTCTCCACTCCGCTGCAGCTTTCGGATATCATCGAGAATAGGTACCCACAATGTAATGTGTTAGGTACATCATCAATATAAACTTGTATACAGGTATAGTTTAGTTATAGTTATAGTTTACAGGATGCATCTGTAGGATTTGACAATATATTTTTCACACGGCCAAACGATAGTCAAGATATCTCTAAAATCTATGTAACACTGTTAAAACAATTCAAATGCAATTATTGGTAAATAAATGAGTATACAGATAGACCATTACGCAAATAAATAATAAGTTAAAATAGTATTATATTACGGGGAAGAGCGTTCCTCTGCGGTCCGTTTTTGGCACTGTAAAATGTCAATTGCTAAGTCATTTAACCACTCAGTAGCGCCCATGTCTAACACATAAAGTCCAGGAAGTTCTTATCGTCGTATGAATAAACGAAGTCGTCTTCACTTATGCGACTCATATTTTTCACACCCGTGCCGTGCGTCCCGAGTAAGATTCCGTTCAGACATGAAACGGTTTTGGGAATTTCGTTCTTTCGTCGGAAAATGGAAACTCCGCGATTGTAAAAATATCAGGCTGATTTATGGGTATCCTTTCGGTCCATTCATCCTTCCGTCGATTACCATTTTCCATATGCTCCGTGCACCATTTTTCTACACCGTCTTGTACTACGGAATTAAATATCGTAGGGAATACTGCAGATACACCCTGTATCCTATATAACTGGCACCTATATCTAATACTATATTCTTAATTTATTTTTTGGTTAAGTTTTTATCCCCGGAAAAAAAAAACAGTTTCTCGCAAAATCACATGTGGTGTATGTAGTCGTTTATATATATACATACACAGAAAGAGGCAGAAACGTAAAAATAACCATTTCGGTAAAAGAACATAAATGCATGTATACGAGTAGTGTATAGCGAGATTTTGTTCAGCGGGTACATTTCGCCCGGCGTAAGTCGAAAACCCATGGTTTCGTGGCGGCATCAGTCCCCCGAGAGGCATATAATATGGGTACTATCGCTTGAAACAAATTCGAATTTTATGCGTTTTTTTTTTTTCTACAAAACGACCCCATAATAATGTTATTTCGTTCTCCGTTTATTATGTTTTTGCGCCGTTCCTTATGTTATTATCATCAGAGGCCGGCACAGTTGCGTTTTTCACCTCTTGCCTTTCAAGTAATAACGGGCAACATTATACCCCCTCCCCCCAAGAAAAAAAAAACGCTCGTTCACGCAAAAAAAACACAATAATGACAAAAAGACCTTCCAAATCGGTTTCAGAAATAAAAAATAAATCAATATTTGTGTAAATGACAAACTCGTTGGAAACGTGGAAATGTCTCGTAAAAATTGTTCAAAGACATTACAGATCCGATCGACTGATCGCCACCATTCTTACCGTATTTCGAGAATAGATTCGTATTTTCACGTATATATAAGCACCTGATTGGTATGTACAAATAAATAAAGTTCTTGCTATACGATTAACAGTTTTGTGAAGAAAACAATGATTGTTTTAGATTCTAAGTGTAGTAATGAATGTATTGGTTTTACAAAGATGACAATTATTTGTTTTTATTTTTTTTTTGTATACTGTTTACAAAAATTCTATCGAAAATCTTGCTTCGATGTATGCAATGTAGACCCTTTTCTTAAAGGACATTTTCATTGGGTGGTACTTTAAGGAGATTATTTTTTGATTTCTCTGGAAGTTTTCCCAATAAAAAGAAAAAAGTGAGAAAAAAACCTATTGTCATCTTAGGGATCGCACGTTCAAACCCGGGTTTCGAAAATAATTTTTTGCTTTTATTTGTTCTCTTTTATCTAAACAGGAAAAAACAAATTCATTTTAGGTGTACCTAGAGAACCAGCTATCGCCCGGGCTAATCGAAAAATACTCCTTGATTTGTTCTACAAACTTTTCTACCGGAAATCTTGCTTCGATTTTTAAGTGAAGCACTTATTCTGATAAGAAATTTTACTGAGGTGGTACTTTAAAAAGTCACTTTTTTGATTTTTCCAAAATATGGGGAAAATTGGAAAAGGGCAGGAAAACCGGGAGAATGGGAAAATAGGTACAATATTAAACAGATATTATGGAAGAAAATATATAGTATATAAGATAAAATATATAAAACTCTAGAGTTCGTAAAACGTATATCGTCCGAATTTAAATTTACCTGTCCATTGAAGGCTCTTAACTGTTCTTTAGTGCGACTTCGGCTTGAGTATGGTTCTATTTTTTGCGATCCCATTACAGTCTCCGACTCTGCAATCATCGATTGAATCCAAAAACGTTTTTCTATCCTATGCCGGCCATGTGATGAATGTCCTCCACTTGTAGGTTGACTACTATTCAGTTCTCCACATGCTTGGCCGATAGAAGAGATACATTAAATTGAAGTTCCTTCGTAGTCTCACACTTCCGCACACCACCAATTATAGTTTTAACAATCCTATACACATGCACCTTTCCAACGTCCACCCTTCGTTCTTACACTAATAACTGGTTAGTGAATACCATCAATACCTAAATACCTGGTTCCGTTTGTCACTTCCGCTGAATTGTCTCTATGTTTATTTATTAAGTTATACTGTACTTTGGGCCATGCCTTTATTAAACAAATAAAATAGAATAAAATAAATTATGCATATGTAATTATTTTACCATAATATGATATAGATGTATATTGTTTACAAAGCAACACTGGATTCCTCTCAGAATCGTTTTTTCTTTACCATTGGTTTATCGTTGCTTACAGATACAAATTAATTTCCCCTGTATATAAATTTTCAACTTCTCAACAACAGCAGTGGCGACATGGGCGACAGAGGCTACATAGCCTACTTTACAGAGAAAAAAAAAAGGAACGAAAAAAAAAAAACTCCCGCTCTAACATAAATGAAGCGTAATTATTATTATTATTGTTATTATTTTTTTTTTTTCCAAAAGACGTCATTGCGGCACGTGCCGTTATTGGTTGATATTTTTATAATAGCCGTGGTCAAATTAATCGTCGGCGGTTGACACGGAATAGTGAAGAGAACGAAAAAAAATAATAATAACAATAAAAAAATAAAAAAATAATTACCGTTTGATTCGCGCGGCCGAGAGGAAAGACGGTCGGTCGCCCCGTGCCCGACGAATAACAACAATAAAATAAGCAATACGATGTCAATTGGATTTAATTGAAAGAATAATACGGCGGCGCGTATAATGCCCACTTACGTGCGTGTACCGCGTGACGGCGTGACGTAATGGCTTTCGCGCGGTGCCGCACCGTTCCGGCGTGAATGGCGACAGTCGTAACACAGTAGTAATAGAGTGATAATAATTGTTATTATTATCATCGTTATGTTAACGGTAATGATGTTCTCTCCGATCCGTAATAGATTCGCCATTAAGACCGCGCGTACAACGGTTTATTATTATTATTGTTGTTGTTATTATTATTATTATTATTATTATTTTTTTTTTTTTTTAATATTACCATTATAATTATTATTGTTATCATCGTCGTCGTCGTCGATAGCGCAGTTCCCCTTATCCCCTCCGCCCACGTACGGGCTGTTAATTGGCGTAATTTGACCCGTGGCGTTACGGTGAACCCGCGGCGAACACTCGAAACGCCGCTGAATAACGACGACGAGCGATATTGTGCAACGTGCGCGCGTGTACGCATGTTGTACACGTATTGTTTTCTCGGTTCCTCGGCCGGTTTAAACTTCAAAGTTTCTGTTGGCTCGGCACCGGCGCGCGCGGCCGGGTCCTTTTTACGCGGCCGAATGGCGACGGGAATATTCGTTAAATATATCAATAAAAAAAACCAAAAAAAACCATCGCAATACGCTAGGGAGCTAGGGACCGGATTTATACGCGCTTATTCAAATATCCCCTTCCCTCCCCCCCCTCAAAAAAAAAAAATAATAATAATAATGATAAACCGTTTAAAAATGACGCCTTATTCGATTATGAGTAAATTTATTTTTCTATAATACGTACAATTTTGTTTGAAAAAAAAAGATTACACTGTAACGACCGTTTTCCACGTGTCAGATTCGTTAGAGTGGAGTACTCCTCTACCATTTTCGATTTTAACATATTTTTAAATCAGTGTTTTTTCGAAATTCGTAAACGTTTTTTTGCGGGTTTCAAACACATATAAATCTGATTTTCAATCTTCAACAATCGTACGTATTATATATACCGTGTCACGCATTTTTCATTGCATTTAACATTAACAATAATAATCGTAGTGATTTCGATAATACGGCGTGTTTCGCATTTGATATTTTGTATTTTTACTGTAGGTATGTGCAAAAAATGTCGATACCGCACATCTGTTTTGACGGTGACGTATCATCTCCCCGTTAACCTATTTGAATACGCCACTGAATTTTACAGTGCACATAATTTACGCCCGCATGCAAAACGACAAACCTTTCGGGAAGTTGTTTGATACCAAAATATTGTGTTTTAAATAACAAAAATAATATTATAATATGATTGCACAATATTTGCAAATTGTGAATTTTTTCGCTGCGCAATCGCGTTATTGTGTTTCCTCTGATATTATATCGTATAGTAAAAATGTGAAAATTTGCCCGATCAATTGTCACGTCTCGTTTGTAATTAATTATTACGTTAAAAATACTTAAAAAGATTTCCGCAAAATAACAAAACAAAATTCTAAACGAATCGAATAGGTATAACTACCGAAATTGTATGTATTCAATCGTTTTTTTTATCGTATACCGCGTGTCATTTGAAAATATTGTTGTAAATAGAGTATTATCTTTGTGTTTCTATGTTTTGTAATTTTACCCAACACGATATATAAATTTTTTTTCAAAACAATTTCGTTGAATTTAAAATTATTTTCAGACACTATTCAGTTATCCGAACATAACCGTAATATTTTAAATATAAAAAAGAAGCTGCGTACATAAAAAGGCATACAATTTCCATATAATGTTCATTCCGTAAAAATATACGAGTATTATACACACATTCTATACATTCTTTAACCTTTATTTAATATTCTTAAATCATCTCAACTGCTGTTTTACCTACTATACGAGAATATGTATTATATTATGGGTAACTAGCAGGCTCCCTATTGACCCTTATTATGAACAAATTTGAAATCTGCAATTTTCTAAGATAAATAATATTATTTTGAATTGAGTTATTGATGTATCCGAAAAGTGATTTAAAAATTATTGTATCGTAGACATTCAAAAATTATTATGGATAGGCCATCAGTTTTTGGAGGCCTATCAAAATCAGGAATGTAAAAACCAGGAACCATGTGCGTTGACGAAAACAAATATTTCGTTGGAGGGGGGTTAAGGTTGTACCACTTTCATACCGTTATAACAAAGAAGTGTACACACGTTCAGTTGTAAGATTATGACACCATATATTTCCTGATCTCTAACATTCCTGCAAAACATCGTACTAGTAATTTTTCATTCATAATCAAATTCTTTTCAATCAAAAATAATTTTTTTTTTCGAGATTTTCTCACGATCAATTTTTGTTGATATTTTCGATGATAAGGATTTAAGACTGAATATTTTTATCTTCCATGATAATATACATTTTTTTTTTTCATGTGACAAGCATCTCATACCTTCGTAATGATTTTAATAATTTGCTTAGTCATTGTTCACATTCGTATATACAATAGCTTATTATTATCTACTGTTATACATTATACCTAAACGTATAATATATAATTATTGTTATTGCATTAGTTTGATTTACGGATGAAAAGGCCTCGAATACCTCCAGTCAACCACTAATCTTGGAAAACGTCACCTCAAATGTGAAAACGCAGGAATGGCATATCCTTGTGTTTAATATCTAAAAATTTTAAGAAACACCTACTAGGACGATGAATCTAATCAATGTACAGATTTTTAATTTTCGAAAAAAAAAAATGCGTTTACCTACTTATCGTACATGCTTAGTGTTTTCTTTCTTTCTTTTTTTTTTTTTTTTAATTTTAAACTAATACGGTCTATATAGACATTACGAGATCTCTATTTCGTTATTTTGTATACAATATTATTTAATTCTCGTTATAATTGTATTAATAAATCTCGACTTTATACACCGCGCTGCCGTTTATACGATTTTAACTATTATAATACCACGCGACTAATGCTTATAAGATTTTCCGGTAAGGATTTCGATGAGACGCACGCGCGTGCGAAACAAGAAGATTTAGTCGGGTATATAATTGAATTCCGGTAAAATCAATTGTAAATTAATTGTTTCGTCGTGATAGCTAACGCAGAGCGTGGGTTGTTTACCGCGCGTGCACATTTAAATCCCGGTAGCCGTTGCCGACTTACTGCAGGGATTTTGCGGCGTGTCCTGGCTCTAAATATGTTTATTTTCTTCAAAACGTATGTGTCAGTTTCAGAGTTAACTTTTTTTTAACCGGAAACTTTGAATTCAAACCGAAACAGAGTCCACCAGATTTTCGGATCGTACGATATACTTTCCAGCAAAATGTCCGTTCGATTTTTCAATTGGAATATGAGGTATTTATAATATGGATATTTGCCGTTTATATTATTGAAAGTTTGAACTTTATATTATTTTAGTAACATTGTTTTCTGTTTTCGTTTGGAATTTAACCGAGAACCCGCAAAACACGTTCGTTTAATTCCCAAACAAATTACCCGAGGGAATAATGTCTGAGGAAAACCTTTAGGCGTACTACAGTATTGGTATACTATTTGCTTAATCGACTTGGCGAAATTCTATCTCCTTCGTGTGTGACAGTGCGATTGTCCGCGAACCTTTTTTTTTTTTTGATTTACGCCCGTTTTCTAAGTCGGCGACGAAAGAAAAACGACGGGGATCGCGACGTCAGATACGTCAACGGCGGAGTGACTAATTGTGATAAATATTTGATTCGGGGATTTCACGGCTATGATCGTCTATTCACACGAATACATTGTGTGCAGATCCGGAGATAAATCACCGTAATTTGGTAACACACTGAAGTTGATACGTAAACAGAAGGGGTGAAGTATCCGGGTTAACCCCTTCTCCGAATTTCTACGAAAGTTGTAAATTCTATGCAACATTACGTAAATTGTATTATGCGTAATATTGTTTGTCAATTTTGTATGAACCCTTCCCACCTCCCGAATTTCGTTTTGTGTACGTACTCGTGTTCGTGCCAAATATAGTATTACCCCATTCTTTTGATATATTACTATTTACATTTATACCGCCAGAAAATCGCCAGAGAGACAATCGATAAATTACTATACTTACATCAAAAGGTTGCCAGGTTCTGCTCCACGCCGAATATTGCGTTGAATGTTTGCCAGATACGACATCAACTGTAACAATACTATAGCGATGCGATATTTTTTGGTTTTCAATTAACGCTGTATAAAACTTAATAATATTATTGTTATTATTCTATTATCACGCTGTGTTAACCGTGTGGATTTGTTCAAAAATAACTTCGCTGAAGCTCCATTTAAAGTTTACGAAACGCGTCCGATTCAGTGCCTTTTCCATACTATTCTGTTTGGACTTTGAAATATTTTAATACAATATTATTTATCGTATAGATGATTCCGGGCGAACGAAAAGTAAAATTGTTATTGTGCGATATTCTATAAATTTGTTAAACTGCAGTCCTCCGGCTACTTCGGAAGTACCTAATTATAGTTGTTTGATGGACACAGCTGAATACAATAATTATCTAGTGGCTTACACAAATCAATTACAAATTTACACAAATTAGTGACTTTGTGATTTATTATTTATTTTTATTTTTTTGTCGATATAACGCAAAATAAGTTCAACAAAAATTAATTTGTACGATTCCTGAAAACTCTTGTGAATAAAGGTTATTAAAGAAAAGTAACTAACATAATACAGCTTAACTGAATCACTTTTTTTCTTTTTAACTTGTACCCGTAGGCTTATTTATACTTGCAACGTCACTAAGAAAAAATAAATAAATAAATTGCTTTAATTTAGTCGGTTACTAAAACTTAGTAACTCGCACAGATTTGAAAGTTTTAGCTGTCATTATATTAGATACAGATATGCGAATTTCGGTGATCGATCAACATTTATTTTACGTGGCATATAATATAATATTATTATCATGATGAATACAAATAATGATAAAAAGCTAATACTGTGGATGGAAGTGGCCACTATTGTAGGTGAGAAGTTGGAAAGTTAGGATACATAAGGTTATTTCATTTATATCTGTGGGCAACGATAAACCATTGTTTGACGAAAGACGATTCCGACCGCAGTTCGATAATACATAATTTTAAGTGTCGTAATTTTTTTTTTTTTTTTTTGCAGTTTTCGTTTAAATTATATTTAAAACGCTTATTAAAAAAAGAATAAAAAGTCGTCCGATGATTTTGAAAATTTTACCACGTCTGGGTTAATCCAATATAAATATTATCACCAAACTCCAAGTCCCTACGTATATTTATAACCGAATTACAGCGAAAAAACTCCCAAAAATGTAACATTTTTAAAAGCTCAAAAGTGGCTCAAAAGTTTTAGCAATGATAGCGTAGGAAAGTAAATCAAGAAGGCAACAAAAAAAAATGTCCTTTGATGAAATCATTTTTTCCGCTAGAAAACGTCGTCCGTGTTTTAATGAAATCGTGAAATTGTACGTTCTCCTACGTTTTTTCCCACTTGAATGCTTATATTTAAAAAATGGCGTTGAAAATCAAAAAAATAACCTCCTTAAAATATCATCTAGACAACTTGAGCTGCTTTCAGAAAAGTTGCTACACGTAAAAATCGGATCAAGTTTACTAGGAAAAAACGTGTCCACAGACTATAAGAAAAAAAAAATATAAACATCTTAGTAAAACCAATAGCTCCCTCACTACGTTCGGAATCTAAAATTAGTACAAAGTACGAATACCTAGACTATAATTTATGTAAGTGATAATTTACACGCGAAAATTAACTCGTTACAGCGTTTGTAAATCTGTAACAATATTTAGTATCGATTATCGAATAGTAGTACCCGCTTATATCATTAATAAAACAGGTCGATATTAGATTTTTATTACAAAGTCAACGCATAGGTGTCCAATTATTAATAAAATAAAACCGTATAACGTCCACGTATAATTATCATAGGTCAACATAAATATTAATTAATGTAATATTTCGTACAAGATATTATTATAAATCACGAGTTTATTTTGGTCTACTAAATTCTAGTGGTTTTTTTTTTTTTTTTTATTTAATAGCTACTGTATAGTCTGTGTCGGCAGTGCGCATATTTCGTAATAAATCTCTGCGCGGTTAAAATCTGGAGTTCATTTCCATCAACCCCGAGGCTGCGCTATATACCTATAGAGAGAGAACTATTTTAATTCAGTTTGTACGTCTGGATGTATTAAAACAATTTATTATTTCGCTCACTGCGGGTACAGTTCATATCAAATGCACTACAACAGACGCTTAAAATTCTAACCTATGAACCTATATTTATTTCGCCTGTAATTTTTGCATCAACGTTTATTGGCCTTCTACGCGTATTTACATTCGGTCGTGATAGAATCATTAATATATTGGTATAGCTGACATAATAAAATATGCATAGATATTATACTAGATTTCCGATGGATTTCACCGGTTACGTATAGAATGTTGTCACAGACCGTTTTGTACGGTAGTATTTTTGCCGTAAAGTCAATAGTTCTATTAATAATAATTTGGGGGAAAAAACCTAACATAACCTCACATAAAATCCAAAATGGTGAACACTTCCAGATCTACAGGGGAGACGGTGAGTTTGTTTTTCGATCAATCAGAGCCCCATTTAACCAATAATCAATACATTTGTTTGCAAGTTAATAATAATGGTTATAGGCCGTTTTTTTTTTTTTTCTGGATCTTCTTCGTCGAATGGAAAATGATTGTATTTTATGAAATCGAAATTTTCAACTTCAAATTCGAATTAAACGAAAAAAAAATAAATCAATTAAAAAATTCTACGGAAACTCGTTACGTGTATCAGGTACCTCACTAATCATATTTTGTTATCTTAAATATATTATTAAACAATGTATGCCGCCTGATTACACATGGTTGGTGGGAAATCAAGTAGATTAAGTATATATATGTATATATAGTTATAATCTTATAGTGACGTCTTACGTTTTTTTATACGAATAATTACTATAGATAATTCAAATAAAAAAAAATATATATTAAAAAAAAGACCCATAAGGAGCAGAGTTCCGTTACTAAAATCGCATTTTCCCCACCTATTTTGTATTCTTTGTAGTAAAACAATAAATAACCATAAACTATAATAATACTATATACTAACAAAAATATTTACTGTAAAAATAGTAAAAGCGGTGGTTGAAAGTTGAAACTCCAAGAGGCTCATCCTTGATACTAAACACCACACATGTACAAAATTGCATATATCTATATATGATTTAATTTAGATCTTTATAGGCGTTCAAATCTAAAAAAAAAAATTTACAATTTCCTTCCGCAAAATCACGGTGAAATTCATATTGAAATTTAACCCAACACGAAGTTTGTACTCGTTCGGTCCAGAGAAAGCCGCCAAAAGTGTCCAAAATTACAATGATGGGAAATGATATACAAAATGCATACCTAAATAGGTACTAACTGAATATTATTCGGTATTTCTTGGACTCACCCTTATCCCTATCGAAATTGATTAAATCGTTTGTTGCCTGATAATTTATCTTTTAAAAGGGTCCGTGTTAAACTTAGTTAAATAATAATTAGTGTTATTTTTTTTTAATTGTTTCGTTATTATTGTTCCATCCGTTTCACCAAGGTAACCCGAAAATCGATAACAAAAAATGTAATTCCGTGCATATTAAACTATCGAATAAGTCAGTCGTTAGGCATTGTGATTTCGAGATAAAAATTATAAACAGTAACCTTCTCTTGTTTTGAATGTCAAGACTGTACGTGGTTTCGTCATTATTGAAATAAAACCATAGATTCGTAACAGACAGACAGACACATGTGTACACACACATTTACTTGCAATTTTGCATATCTATAATAATAAAAAATATTTTACACAATACAAAAGATTCTAAGATTCTAACGCAACGAATTCGGTTTTCGGAGAAAATATTGTTCAAAAAATAAAAATGTTTGTAACCTATAAGTAGTGTACTTACGTTTTTTTTTCACGAATAAACTGGTCCAATTTTAAACGTATTCTTTCACCTGACTCGTATATTGTAACAGGCGGGTATGTTATTATTGCGCCATTCAATCACATCTCGTTTTGAATATAATATCTACTTCTATGTTGTATAATAACGCGTGTATCTGTAATATATTTTATGAATAGAGAAAATTAAGACCGTTGCACCGCTAAGTAGGTATATAATATACAATTATAATAAATACTATTTTTAAAACGTGATTTAAAACATCATTTAGTATATCAATGCTCGGGTAAATGTTTAATGATCCTCGACGTGTATTGATTATTATTATACGAGTATATTATATTATTAGTGGTGGTTATATATAGGTGAGTACGAAACCATTTTTAGTTGTTGGCATTTAAAAAAAAAAAAAAAAAAACGTATCAATATATTTTATTAAACGTAAAAAAAAAAAACACAAGGTGAACGTTGATTTTTAAGTATAAAAAACCGATTAAAAAAATATCAATGTTGGATTTAATACGAGTTCAAATCATTAATATATTAGCTATTACCTAATAAAATACAGTTGTGAATTTATAGGAAATGATATTGTAAGTGTTGTAATACCTATAATATTTAATAACATGAACACGGCGTTGAAACTTTTATTTTAATTTTGTTGACATTTTTTATTTTAGATACTCTCTTTCCTCTTTTTCACGTCGTTTTCCTCCCTTTTTTCGTTCAATATTTATGTTTTAGATTTTGAACGAAGCGAAGAATGTATTAATTTACTATATATATTTTTTTTTTTCTATAAACAAAACTTGTTTTACCATAAATCTTTCTTTAATAAAAACTCTATAGGAAATTTACTATAGGTGCGGTTATAACAGCGTTAAAAGACAATCATTTTTTTTTTTTTTTTTTTAGTTTTCTTGTAAAAAATCCTATTTATTAAAGAAATAATAAATGGGAAAAATTGGTAATTTATGTACACATTTTGTTGATTTTTGGGTTGCCTTGGCATCAAAGGAAAAAATTACTCAATTCAGAATAGTTTTTCATTAGCAATGGTGTACCGTTGTGTATAGATATAAATTAAATTACTCTATATTATATACTCTCATCCAACTTCCCTCCTAAATCAGTGACAGACCTATCTGCAGTATACGTATCAGCCGTCTATTTTATCTTATTTTTCCCTTTCCACTTGAGTCCGTTTTACACGAAGTGACTATACGGACATTAAAACTATACTTAAACTAAGTGACTACTTTACTACTATACGTAAAACTTATACCATTCAATAAGACATAATTTGTTGTTTATTTCCATTGTATTTCGGTAATTTTGTCTTTGAACGTTTAAACGCATTTAGTTTTATGTTCTTTAGATTTCAAGGGCGTTTTGAACGTCATGTTATGGGTGCAATTCTTTTTAACAAATTATATTTGCACGCTCTATAGTCTATACCAAGGGTGGCTAAACGGTAGATCGCAGATGATTTAAATGTCCATTTCCATTTTGTTAGAATTTATTTGTATGTAATTAGTAGATAAATAACAATTGTTGATCATTTTTATCTTAATATACTATTTTTATTTTATTGTAAATTTATCAAGTTATACAATTCAACAGAGTTTATCCTGCCAATTTTATTTACAATAATGTTATATTAGTCTTAATAATAATGTGATGAAAAACATTATTTGACTATGCATTTTAGTTTTATTATTTTGTAAGTGCATGTTTGTTAGAAATGTCTAATGAGTAATTTATAATTATATATTTTTATTAGGAAGTCGATCCTAAAAGGAAAAATATATTCTCAATAGATCTCTACCAAAGTAGTTTGGCCACCCCTGCTCTATACAAATGTACAACTCGGTTCTCCACTAGTTTACCTATAATTAATAAAAAAAAAAAGTTTAACTATACCTAATAGGAGGTCTTTAACGCGAAAAATACTTGTGCACATACATGTACAATATTGTATATACATAATATCTATGGATGGACTAGAACATATACTATCACAACCGTCATCGTCGTCGTCGGTAAATTCGGTATGTGCACGTAAACGGAATTTGGGAACTTTAATAATAATTAAAAATACACGATTTTCATAACCAAACGGTTATACGAGAAATACGATATGATAAGATCGCGGTATGTAAACTATTCGATTACTTATATGAATAAACAATTTTTAAATAATACATATTACGTCGTGCACTTGCAAGATTTGCTGAAAACGTCAACGTTTTTATTCGCGCATAACTGCACCCAGCATACCTATACCCGCTACGCCTGTTGTGTAGGTATACAATTTTTTTATTGTAAATGTTATTTTCGAACGAATAACAGGCAATCTGCTGGTACCTACTGGGTACAAATTGCAATATGCTAAACATGAAAATTTCGTTGTACCTACGTAGGTACACATAACTAGTAAAAGTAAAGTAAAAATTTTAATATCAATTCCCATGTATAACAGTTATGTTTTAAACAAGGCGGTGCGTTTGTTGATTTAGTTTAAGGAATTGTAACAATCATCAAAATTGCAATACTAACATATTTGTTTAAATAAATGGAATTATATTATACCTCATAGTTATGTATAGATGTTTTATAGTAAAAAACGAATAAACAAATCTAGTAAAATATTGATACACAGTAAGTATTGCAGTATTTCAGTAAAAAAAAAAAAAAACTTAAATATTATCGTTCCGTTATAAAAACGTTATGAGATTCGTTCATTTCACTAATCATTGTAGTGGTTCGAAATTGTATTATTATAATTTTTATTATATTTTATATATTCAATAAAGGCCGAAATCCAAAATATAGAAAGTAACACAATTACAACTAAAACTTAACTAGGATTTAAATTAACTATAACTATGGTATACAAAATTAACAAAAGGAGCTCCTACCAAACTAGTCTATTAACTAGAATACATACTGGCAGTGAAAGAAGAGGGACTAGAAGCTGAAAGTGAACGATGGATCCAGCTTGGCGGTGCGCGTAAGCTGGATTATTGAGGAAGTCATCAATAAAAGACGGTGGGAAGTATGGAATCTGGAAAAAAAGAGATGAGCTAGTTAGAAGGGAAGGAAATTTAAAGTTGATTTGGCATTTTTGAGATTTTGAGCATGTGGGGTTTATTCCTTTTGTAGATTTTGAACGGAGTGAGTTTTTTTTTATTTTCTGTAAATTACTTTTCTACCAGAAATTTCGCTTGATTTTTTAAGTGTAGCATTTTTTCTGAAAGTAAATTTGACTGAGGTGATATTTTAAGGAGGTCATTTTTTGATTTTACCAGTTTTACCAGGTTTTCATAATAAATGGGAAAAATGGGATGTATTTTTTTTTTCATTTTTCACGTGTTATGATTTGGTGATTAAATGCAAAAACCGATTTAATGCTTAGAGCTTACTTGTATATACTGCAATATTATTCGTCCTTTATATAGGTATATTTACACAAGTATAGTAAAACGTCTTGTATCAATATGTAAAAGGTATTACATTATTGTAAAAAATCTATTTCCAGGTTTTTGATTTTTATTTAGGTTTTTTTTTCATTATTATTATTATTTTTTATTCAAAGCAACGGCGTAATAATTATGAATAGAAGAAGGTTATCTGATAGATCTGTGACGTTCATAAACGTACTCACACGTGTGCCTCAAGTACGTCATTATACAGTTGTGTTATAATCAGGTTTCGGAACTTATAGCATTTGCTTATTTTTTTTTGACCAGACTTTAAATAAAACAGCATACGATTTCGAAATAAACAGAACGCTTATTTTTTAACATACGATGTGAATAATTGTTGAAAGATTCTTTTTTACTACCTAATCGAAAAGTGTTTCCCGAGAAAAAAACACACTTTAGTAAAACTAAATAGTAGCTTATTCTTCGTTAATCGTTATATTCGCCAAAATCTTAAGTATAAATGTGTCTGGTGTTTTTTTTTTTTTTTTAATAATAATAATAATATTAATAAAAAACAATATTTGATATCGAACCGTATATAAATAATTATATATTATATTATCAATACAATTTTATCATCATTTTCAAATTAGGTCGTTTAATAATAATATGTAATATTTGTTTTTAGAGATACAAGTATATTGAAATATTATCGATTTAATGGAAACGATAAAAATGAATTATCGTAAATCATATTCTATTGCAGATATATTACATTAAAAAAAAATAAAAAAATATCAATTATTCTTTTGGTTTTCCTATCGTATTTTTAATTCTACGATGTCTAATACAGTTCAATGTCGTACAGATCGCATATAAATATAAATGGATGTAAGCAAATCTGAGATTAATAGACTGAAAAAGCTGTCCTAGTATAGTGGACGCCGGTGCAGCCACTGTTGTGTATGGAAAGTCGGGAAAGTAGGGTAAAGTAGGGAATGCAATGTATACCTGTAAGCAACGATAAACCATTTCTAACGAAAAAATCATTGCTGGGTCAGCTAGTACATTGTAATATTATCGGACACTCGTTCAACATTGTTCTCCGGCATTATCTATCGATATATAAGATACATGAACAACCAAAAGATTCGCTTCTCATCTCTGTAAAACTATAATAAACGCGTTGCCCGTGCTAATTTAATATTCTCTTTTATATTCATAATTTAAAAGCAGAATTAAAAACGTATTGAAAATCAAAATCAATAAAACAAATTTAATTTAACGTGTCTTCTTTTTATTTAATCGTATATCTTGTACTCTTGTAAAACTGTACGAATATATTTCGCTTATCTATTATTATGTTACATCCATGTCACCTGAGTAATAAACCCGTAAATTAACAAAGAAATAATTCGATTTTCGTTCTAAAAATACCAAAAACCCCTTGTGACTTTAAAGTGCGCGTGGAGCCACTTACCCGTTCATCCTTTTCTATATACCATATGAATTTATCTCCATGTGCGATCGATTCGATTCCGGATAACACGAACACTCGATTTATTATTATAATGATTAGATACGAGTACGACACTTTTTAAAGGTAGAGACTAAAAACAAATTTAAAAAACTAATAATTACGATTTGTCTGGGTGTCTATATAATATCTGTTTATCTATTTTTAGTTTAAAAGGCCATTTAGACCCGTCGTCGCTTGTTTCACACAACCTACTCCGTTCTTCATCAATCCTCTATAATATATTGTTCGCCATTTTTTTTCGGACTATTGATTCCTGTTACAGTATCTGAAGATCATTCGTCCGTCTATTGGAACATTGGATTAATTGTATTATTTTGCTATTGAAATGTCGATTTCCGTAAACCTTTCAACGAGTTATTCCACTTTTGAACTAGAACGAGGAGGAAGTAATATAACGCGTATACCTGTCGGTAATTTTGAAAAAAAAAAAACATTTTTTTTCGAAAAAAGTCATTACTTTTTGAAATGTCAAATGTTCGACTATTAAAGAATTTCCGTGTATGTAATAATACGCCTTCGTAAATAAATACATACCCATTTTAATATTTTTGTATGTAAATGTTTTGTTTTTTAACGATAGGGTATGAAGGGTATAATATTTATAGTTTGTGTGTTGAAATACGATTCCGAACGGAGCGTGGGGTAAATGCGGTTTCCGATCGAATTTAAATCTTTTACCCGAAAAATATACCCCCATAAATCATACGATTGTAATAATCATTACACGAGGGTAATTTCGTGTTTTTTTTTTATTCTTTTTGGATATTATAATCATTTATTTATCTAAATACTTTTGAAAACGACGCGGATTATCGTAATAATATTTTACATCGCGTTGCGAAAAAAAAATCACAACGGATTACAAATCAAAGAGTGCCGAACACATTACACGCGTTTTCATAAAAAAAAAAAATTAAATATAATGTAACATAATGGTATGTACTCAGCTGCGTTTCGTGTTGGTTCCCGCGCATTTGTTTCAGTTCCATATGCTATATTTGTTATCCGTGTTATATCTCTATACATATAATGAGTATTATACCGCGATTTGCCTATACAAATGCGGGTGAAGCAGTTGTTGAAAAACGCGCGGTGGTAAGAAAAAACGATACACCGCTTCTCAAGATCTCGAAATTAAAAACGGGTTATTTTATCGCGTAGGTACGGTTATTTAAAAATAAAAGAAAAAAAAGTAAACGCGAGGGGTTTTTTTTTCCCCGACGTGTTGAAAAATCAATGCGAAGCGATCTCACGGGAGTCGTGTGAAAAAAAACAATAAATAATATTGGAACATAATAACACGAATTTGAAACGCGCCAAATTTTATATTTTATGTTCAATGGATTAATTTTTTTTTTTTAGAATAAATTTTACTGAGAAGTTTTTTTTTTTCAGAATATAACATTACGCTTATTTATAATGCTATTCAATTTAGAGTGTAATATTATATTCGTTGTTTCACGCGTTTTCTAGCTATACGTATGCATTTAACCTTTATGACAGTGTTTCTCGACCGTTTCAGAGTTACAGCTCTCTTGAGGAGCAAACGATTTGTGAACGCCCGTCCTATGTGAAAATCATGTTATTACGGGTATTGGAAACGAGTACGAGATTCAAATTACACTTGGTTGTTTTTCTACCATAGTCAGTAGCGCGACTGACCAGACGAGACCAAAAGTTTATATTAACACGTTGATGGGCAGTACATGCTATAGCATTCGAATTTTCAGACTCATGGAACATAATAAGTCAAACTGATTCAAAAGGGGGTGAATGCTAAATCAGTCACATCCATCAACGTGTAATTGTCACTCCGTCACTTACCGCGCCCTCCGTCGTATTTTTTTAAAAAAATATTCGACTCGCCGCTTACGATAAGGCTCACTATAGCCGCCACCGATTATCAGGTTGCTCGTTGAATTGTATTTTATTGGCCGTACCGACCCGTACGATCATCGCGAAACCCAGTAAATTTGAATACGCGTTTGTGTTTTTTTTATGTTTGGAGTTTGCAAAAAAACAAGTGTATAACCGACATCAATATATTGAATATAAAATCCGATTGTCGAATCAATACCGAACAACAAGTACGTACGCACATTATAGGTGATACCTTTATATGTTATCGCGACGCACGGCCAACTGTTGATTAATCGCCCCGTGGGAACGTGTATGCGATAATAATGCAAAAATATTGATATCATATTATTAAATTGTCGCCATAATAATATGTTTGCTGTACATATTCTTCCCTGGTCGTCGCGGTGATTCTCTGCGCAGGTTTACAAAAAAAAAAAAAAAAACTGAAAAATTGTTTTAAGCCTCTGTGAACCTCATTGACGTCATACCGGCTACGTGTATTTGTATACACGTCTGGTGTGTTTACAGGAGTCGTCGGCGGCAGGCGTCATTGACCTTGGGAACGAACGCAAAACTATGTCGGCTAATACCTATATACATATTATATATACGGTATTAGATATATAATATTATAACAGTTAAGTACCTATATAATATATTATATATAGGTACTGTAACCCATACCGACATTCGGCATAGAAACGTTCAGAGACTGAAAAGTCTCGAGTTTTTTTTTTTCAACTATATGTGTATATGTGTGTGGTATCGAACAAAACATTACGCGCCGCTGTCGCCTGCTGCAATACAATAATATAGTGAGATACGCTCGCCAACAACGGTTTGAGTTTATTTTCCGAAGCCGTCTAGCTGAGAATGATAATTTTAAAACAACGCGAAACTCCGTGGTTTTTACGATTGTCGTAGAAATTTGAACTTTAAACGGTTATTGAAGAAGGCACAAAAAAAACAATTGTCGGTAAAGATTTCCGGTATTTGCACAGTGCGATACCAGAACAATTTATGATCGATTTTGAACCGAAATGTCCAGTATTTGTGTGTGGTTGCCCCGCGTAGTGTTCTGGAAAACAATTCGATGAAACGTGTACAAAGTCTGAATTGTATTTGACCGAAAACTGTTTGTCCCGCGACTGTATATTGTCGGAATTCGAATCGATAAAAACCGTATTTGTCCAAAAAGTATCTATAACTCTGGAAAAACTATACGTTCGGATGGTGTTCTTCCGGTAAATAAAAACCAAAACTCAGTGACGGAACGAAAAGTAGGTCGTCTATAGCTTAAAAAATGATCAGAATATTTTTAAAACTGGACCACGCCTATAAACGGATAATTTCGGTATTCGGTGAAAATTTCTAGTCTCTACGATTTTCAACCAAATTACAAAAAAAAAAAAAAAAAAAATAAAAAATAATTAAACCTTTATTTCCGTACATTTTCCTATTTCCTCTATGATTTTTCCCGATTATTTTAAATATCAGTAATTTAAAATCAAAAATTCACATTCTCACTCGTTAACCAGACAAAGTTTTATTTCGCAAACGATATATTGTTACACGTGAAATTCGGAGTGAGATTTCTTGTACAAAAAGAAAATCGAAAAAAAAATGAAATTTCTACTGCGGTAAATTTCCTTGTTCCCCCCTCCCAATTGTTTTGAAAACTAAAAAGAAATTCAAAAAATGACCTAATGGCACGCGCCAACTAGAACAGAAATTCAACAAAAAAGGTCTCACGTAATGTTTTGATTGAAGCGAGATTTTCTCGTTGTTTACACGGACGGATACCGAAATAAGAACACGTAAAACCGATACGTATCTCGCTACGTTCAGAATCTTAAAAAAAAAAAAAAAAGACGTATCAACGTCCCGCGTATAGAACGGGTGACGACGACTGACGACGGTGTGCGGTACAGTAACGGTACTAAATATTATATTGTATATTATTAGACTAGGTTAGTGACCGGTCGGTCAAAGTTCGGATATTATGGTATTTGGACGCGGGTTGAAATTACGAATCGAAAAACGTTTCGATAAAACACTATTTATAAATACGGTTGCGTTTGTCGGCGTACGCGAACTTACGCTAGTATTTTTGCTTGACCACTGTGTACCTACACGTAAACCCGGAGCTATTAAATTGGCTCCCAAATTCAGGTAATAAACGTACTTACACGTTGAATTAGCTCCCAAGATTTATGTATTAAGTTGGCTCTATCAGCATTTATTTTATAAGTCCATTGGTTAATTGTATAGATCATCGAAATTGTTAAAATTGAGTACATTTTAATCTTTTTAATGCGTTATCGAATTAAAGATCAGATAATTTCCCAGCAATTATTACGTACTGTGTCACTAAAAATATTAAAATCATCTCGCACTTTTACTACTTTTATATTTATAGAACCACTTTACATTTTGAGTACTACTTAGTCAAAAATTGTATTGGGAGCCAATTCAACAATTAGTTTCTTGGGAGCCTGTTCAATGGTCGTCTACGTAAATGACAACGAATATGTCGATTGTCGACAAGTCGAAAGCGCACGTAGAATCAAAAAAAAAAAAATAAAAATATTTCCAACGTTTGACGTAATGTTATAAATTTAAGGCTTGGAGCTTATTGTACTTTAAATTAACAAAAAAACCGCTTAAAAAACATCAAAATTTGAAAAAAAAAAAAAACAGAAACGATAGAAGGGTTCAAATTTTTCCCTCTCTTTCGGCTCTAACTCAGTAAATAAAATTGTCTAACGCTACACAAGTAATAAATCCGAAAGTTACTATTTTATTTTTTTATATAACACGTGCAATTTTATTTAGACAAAATACATTTTTGTTAATCATTTGTGTCGAGTTAGCAAATTATATTTAATAATTTAGAGTCGCTATACTAGGAACCTTTAAACTCTTCTACCATTTGGTCTAATAATAAATGAAGTATTTTTTTAATATCCGTTCGTGTCCGAGTCGTTAAAAACCTGCCGATTTTTGACGGGAAACCGGTCAAACAATTATAATTAATCTGCGAATAAAGTATTTTGTTAGGTTTTTGTTATTGTAATCCGGAAATATTGAAGTAACAAGGTAATAAGAAAGGCTGCACTTGTAATATTATTATATTCGTCGTACATTTTTTAATGGAATACTAATATGCATGCACATGGTACCTTATAATTTTTTTTTTTCTACTGTGAATTGAATATTCAAGGCCGCAACATTATTTTATGTGTATGGCAGTTTAATTGGTGAAACCGCGTTATGTGTCTGTACTCGGTTTCGCCGGCCGATATAAACCGCGGCTAATAAAAATACGAAAATTCGAAATATCATTATCCATTATTTATTTTGTTATTATTATCATTACGATATTATTGTCTATTGTCATGACGTCGAATAAATTATTTCTGCGCGCGCGTGTGTGTGTTTTTAATTCACCGCGATTATTGTAATAACCCCGACTCGAATTATTATAAAAAAAAAAAAAAAAATTGATAACGCTCGCGTATGCGTATTGTGTACTACGTACTGCAGATACACAATTAGGCGTGTTGTACACATCGCGTCTCGCACGTCCTATCGGGTACGCGCCGTATGACACTTTCTAAATCCGAATTCGGTAAAGTCAAAACGTTCCTCGTGGTATAGAATTTTACGCAACGATATTCGTCTCGGTCGTAAATACCGATGTGCCGATGCGCGCGAATAAAAAAAAAAAAAACGATACGGACTCTCTCTACGCGGGCAACTCGTGCGGACGGTCCGCACAAACCGCGCCGGCGTTGTGGGTTTTCAATTCGTTTTGTAAATAACGAGTTTATTTCTTACGGGACAGGAGTCGAATTTTACAACTTTTCGGGATTCGCCGCGGGTTTGTATTACGGCCGTTTATCCTCGTACGCACAGCCTACGGGATAACGTAGTATGATCAGTGGCGTAAATACCGGGCGGGGCAAGGCGGACAAACGCCACTGGCACGCAGCAGCGGCTCAGACTACGGCCCGAGGGCCTAACAGGCGAGGGTTGTTTCGATTAAGCCCCCTCCCCTTTTTTTAAATTTTGTTTATCGGTTCGGCCTTCAGCACCCCGATACGATATTGGGCATTAGATGTTCTAGTTACGGACGAATTTCAGCGGCGCCGGTCGTGAAATTTCCCGCGGAATGTAAAACGTCACAAAATTTGGCTTTACATCCGCGAACACCGTCCAACCATAATATGATTCAGGACAGTAATTAGCTATAAAGCACGAGTTATTCGCAACGTAAAGTCGAGTATTTTTTAAAACGCGTATTTCGTTTTCGTGCCGTTCGGTTACAGGCGACGGGAGTGACAGTGGCAGGCTGCACGACCGAACAGTCGATATTGAACTATTCGATAGTCGATCGCATTCGAACTGTTATTTTTTTTTCTTAAAGGAAATTGTTGCACTCAAAAGACAATTATATCGTACGAAACAATGTATCGATAATTCTAACCGTTTTTTTACGGTAAAACCGCCGTTTTTATGTCGTTTCATACGGTCGTTTGGCGTATTTTTTTTTTTGGATCGTCAATAGTTTCCATAACTAGATAAAATATAACCTAATGTGCGCGACGGATCGCATTTTACTACTAATACCGTACGACGTTAACAAAGGCAAATAAGGGGATTTTTATTTATTTTTTTTTTTTTTTTTAGATTTAAAACCGTAAAAAACGCAATCGTGTTATTAATGCCGTTATTGTTACTTGTTCATCGTAATCGACTGCAGTAGCGTGCAGTGTATTGTATTGTACAATAATTATGCATTGGATGCCGTGTAGCTCGCGTGTTCCAATTTTGTCGGATCTTATCTACGTGAAATATAATTAAAACGTTTGTTATTCGCATCGAATGTTCTTCTCCCCTCACCCGTCCAAAATAAAAAAAAAATAAAGTGCCATTCGTTTTTACTGCAGTACAAATTATTATTAGTTTTTCGTTTTTTATTAATCATGGCCAACGTTTTTCAATATTATTACGATAATATCGCGATACGATTTGTGGCTATGAAATTGGAACTCTCGTAGTAATATTTTCGAATAACTTTACTGAAGGACAGAAGAGCCGTTATTGATTCGGTCGCAAAACGGAATCCGAACACAAAACAACCAAGGTGACGACGGGTAACGGTGGAGCAATGGGATCGTCAAAGGACTTAAGCACCGTTAAAAGTTGAAAACTGAGCCCAGCTAGCGAATGAGCGACGGTAATAGTCGGCATGGTGGTGTATTGAGGATTTCGCGAATTTATAGAATTCTAAAATTGTGTCATATTGTATTTTCTTTAAAAAAAGAAACAATTTTTTTTAAATTTATTCACCACAGAGAATGAGTGTAGCAGTGATAAAAACGCTCATTTGGATGATTGGAGGACGGGAGAAGATCAAGATAAGGGACGGGTACACAAATGGTAGCTTAGACGTGGCTTCGATAATAGATAAAACGAGAGAAAATAGATCGAGATGATTATCTGGGCATGTCACGCGGAGAGCGGAATCCGAAGCATTAAGAATTGTAATGAAAACGAACGTAGGAGAAATAAGACGGAGAGGAAGACCGAAAAAGAGGTGGTCGGATGCGTTCGAGAGTTGTACGAATGCGGCTGGCGCATGCGAGGCGGGCGACCCGGTACAGCGGAGGTTTAGAACGAGGGTGACCGAACCCGAATAGTGGGGATGAAGGCGTCAGAGGAGAAGGAAAACGATTATTTTTGATTTATACGTTTTATAAGCAATCCGTAGCCCGATCTGCGCTGAAATTATCATCGATCTCAAAACAGCTAGGTGTACGCGCCTATGTTAGTATTTATAATTGTCGTCGGCGTATTTGCCGTTTACGGTAGGCGTTTGACGGTGAGGTAACAGCGGCGTTTTCGACCGGGGACCGCGTGTTCCGTGGTCGGCGACGGCGTCTGTCGTTTCGGCCGGGTTCGTTTTCCGTTTCACCCGGTTCGTTTCTTCGGCGAATCGCACGGAGTACACGGGCGCGCGCGCGCGCGCGTTATCGATCGGCCGGACGACATTATCGTGTTCCCGTCTATATTCGTCGGGTCGCGTCGTCCACTCCGGCCGCCCGGCACACGCGCGACCGACGACGCGCGTACGCGTGCCGGAAGTACGCGAAATAAGTAAATCGAGTTTGCGGGAGCGCGCCGCGGGACTGCCGAGTGAACGTACGCGCGCGGGTATTCGATTATTTTCACGTCACGTACCTGCGTACGCGTACGCGTACGCACTCGGCGCGGTCATTAATTATCGGCAATCGGTCAACGGTGCCGGTGCCGGTCGCTTTCTTCGCATTGTGTTCGCGATCCGCCGGGGACGCCCGTGGAACGCCGCCCGTACCCGGACCGCCCGGCGCACAACAATCGCCGTGTCCCGGCTTTTTAATTTATGATGCCGGCGTCCGCGCGCGTAACGCCGCGCGCACTCCGGCGCGGGTTTTACGCGAAAATAAGATGTGACCTTTCACCGCCGCCGCCGCCGCCGACACAACGACGACGATAACAATAATAATAATAATAATAATAATAATGATAATAACGGTTCGTATTTTTTTCCGTGCCCGGCGATATGCCCCGTCCGCAGGCGGACGTCCGATTGAATTTTTTATTTTTGGTGGGGGGGTGGCGCGGGATTCGGCGGAGGACGCTACTTTGGTGACGACGGGGAGAAAACGCATCGTCGCTCGCGTTATACGGTACGATAATACATCCGCAGTCCGTCGTACCGCGCGCGCGCGTAAAAACGTAATTATAAACCGTTGTAAATGGCGTTGCGGTTTCGGGGCCGATAAAATTCGTTCCGGGGAGAAGGGGGGGGAGAGAATATTAGAAACTAATTATGTTTCCGTACATTAAACCGTTTCACCCTCCCGCACCCCCGCCCCGTAATCGGTCGTTTCAATCTACGATTGTAATATTCTAGTATATTGCGGCACACGGGTGCCCGAAGCGCTGATACTCGCGTTGCGAGTATCGGCACAAACTTCGATATTTTAATGTTTTGTGTACAAAGGTCGTCGTCGTCGTATTGCTTCTTGCGGGTAATTGACGGTAATCGCGCTCCAACACGAAAATAAAACGGCCAGAGGAATCGGAAAAGGCGAGAATCGTAACGAAAATAAACGTAGGAGGAAAGAGGTGGAGAGAAAGTGGTTGGATGCGATTGAGATTTGAGAACGATACGAAGACGTCGGGTGTGCGCGAGGACGATTTTGAGAGGATTTTAAAATGAAGGCGGGAAAGAATAAAATGAAGAAAAAGAGGAAACTATAATCAAATATAAAACATAGCCGGAGTAAAATATGGTCGGTTACAAGAAAAAAAAAAACCACTAATAACAAAAAAAATGGCCACATGCAATATTGGACATTTTCCCCGCGGCCATTACTAACGACTACCGTTCGTATTAACAGATCACTTTTTAACTCGATGAATGTCTATTATTACATATTATTAGTAATAATTAGGGCCGGGATTTATATGCTCTAAAAAACTTAAAATATATACTAAAAAAAAACATGTATGCTCTTACTTTGTAGAGATTTTAAAATAAAACATATGCACAAAAAAATCGATTCTCAAAAAAAAATTGTTTTAAATTTTAATTATTTCTATCTTTATGTTTAAAGTAAGTACAAATGATCAATTTGTAATGGTACTTTTGATATTTTTCAACATGAAAAGCAATACATAAAATATAAATTTTTTTTCAATAAAAAATGTGCACACAATAAATTCGATTTTTAAAAAAAAAAGATACATTTTATTTTTATTATTTCTATCATTATAACTTAATTAATATAAATATAAACAAAACGTTACGTATTATGCATTCAAAAACCATTTCTATGCAATGAGAAATCGTAAAATACAGAAATGTCAAGAAATAGTAAAATATGCAAAAATATACCAAATAAAACTTTGTAATTCAGTTCTGTTGTTTATAATTCAAACTTGTACCTAGCCCGTCTAGCTACTTTTTAAGCTGTTTAAAAAAAAACAACATGCAAATGCATATAAATCCGGGCCCTAGTAGTAATAAATCATATTATGTAATAACAGTTGAAAAAATTCAATTATATCAAATATTTGTACACATTTTTTTTTTTATTATTATTTTTATTTGTACGTATTTAATTACAATCTAGAATGTTCAACTAACTGTGACCTGTCACATACATTAAATTAATAAAACAAAACGAATACGTCTAATATTAATTTTTGTATAGGCTTTTGAAAATAGTTTACGTTCTTTTTTAGATTTTTTTGTTTTTTTTTTTTTTTTTTTTTTTGTTAGTTTAAAATTCGTTTTAGATTCTGAGTTTAGCGAAAAATGTATTAGTTTTACAAAAATTATTTTTTTTAATTTTATTTTTTTTATGCCAATACTTTTTCTATCAGAATGCTTACTCCGACTATCAAGCAGAGGAAAATCTGGTTTTTTATGTTAAAAAAAATATTGAAATATTAAAAATAATGTTGTCATTGGCAATCGTTTTTAATTATTAAGTTTTTAAAAATTATTCTAAAATCTTTTTTAAACAATCATTATTGTCATGGAAATGCACATTGCTGTAATGTTTTTACCATAATATGACATATTTTGTATACATATATATATATATGTATTGGCAACAAAGCAACACTATTAACTGAACTCGTTTCAGAATCGTTTTTTCGTTAGCAATGGTTCATCGTTGCTTACAGACATACCCTAAATTCCCTTTTTTATCCTACCTTCCCAACTTCCCACCTACAACAAAGGCTGCATCCATGTGCGAAATATGTTCGTCCTTGTTTTTTTTTTTTTTTCGTAGTTTTATAGAGCTATTCTGATTATTACCGTTATGACCATCGCGAATAAATTACGTTCGAAGCCCGACAGAAAATAATTTTAAAAAATATTGCAAACAACATCACATAAGTACAGACTTAGTAATCTCCGGTGCAGCGTTCGTCGACCGTTTCCGCGGCCATCGATCCTCATTGTGTTCGGCCGTTATGTTTGCCCGGGACTACCGTTCGTGTAACGAGACGCTGCAGGTTTCCTCGGGTTTTTATTCGCGAGTTCCTCCGAGGTCGCGTATACAGGCGCGTCGCTATTGCCATCGTTATTGTTATCTACACCGACGACGTTCACTACCGGTCGCTGCGATTAGTTTATGATTATTACGCCGCAGTATCTACCGCGGTTCATGACCTTCCTTGGAGTGCCGAGCGAATCGTTCCTGCGGTGAAAATTTCGTGTACGTATACGTATTTACGTATACAGGCTCCGTGTAACATTGTCCGTTTTTACAGAACCTAACGCGAGTGTGTTTCGCGAAAGTTCCGGGACATTTCCCCCGTGTCCCATTGTAATTGGCGCCGTCGCGAAAGAATATACGCCTTATATACGCATCTCGTGTACAGATTTTACGTTGAATTAAGAAAACGGTAGTTACGACTTTGTAAACGGCGACACGACGCGTTCCACAGACGCGCGCGGAAACTGTGTTTGTTGCAGACACCGTTGTCCGACGGTTTGACTGTAGCGGTAAAAGGGCTCGGACAAAACCGAGCGGATTAAGCGATTGGCCGCCTCTACCGGCCAAAACGAAATTAGTAATCACGAGTTATTATTATTGTTATTATTATTTTTTTTTTTTGCAAACATGTACAAAAATAGGCGGGTGTAAAACGTGTTTGGTATAATTCAGCGGTGTACTCGGGATTGTTTTCAATGCTGGGAGGGCTTAACTAAAACAACTCGATTAAAAAAGAATTGTTTGCAAAGTATATAATTTTGCGTTACTAGCATAAATAATAATTAATACGAGGATGATTGGAAAAAAACGCACACAATTAAAATTATAATTTATAATTATCGTTGTCTTAAAAAGTAAATACTTTACAGTGGAAAACATTATAACACACTAGTTACACAAAATTAAATCATTTTTATACAGTTGTTATATTATGTTAGAAAGATAAAACAACAAAACCTTAAAATATTATATAAAATCAAATTTAATTTTGTTATACAATTGATTTAATGAACTTGTTATAATGACGATTTTTTTGTTAATTTAAAGTACCTAGGTCATTAGGTACAACATTTTCTATGATCTTTCGAAATGTTCACATCTATTAGCTCTATTTAATTGATGGCGTGTTTTAAGTAGATTTTCGAAAAAAAAAATGATATAAAATAATCGGTGTAAGATATCGAAAAAGAAAACTCCGAAGGAACTGTTTGTGGTAAAACAAAAGTTAATTCATTTTATTTTGTTCTTTTTTTTTCACAATTGGTACATTTGACGCTTCTAAATTTCGCCGCGCCAATCACCTGCTTGGTCTACTTGTATGTAAACCCGACGCTGGTGTATTTGATTATTGTATTCGGTGTTGATGAGTATCAAGATAATTTTTAATTTTTAAAACGTCGAAATAAAGAAAACGTCGAAACACGTGTTTAAAATGTGCCAGATACGGTACACGTTTGGACATCTAAAACTCCGTGCGATTGATGCAACTTAAAAATGAATACGTAATAACCGTATTAATTGTATACGAAGTTACGAATATTAGATTTTGAGAGAAGGCGTTTTTTTATAATTGAATTTTTTTGTTCGTATATGTGTGTCTGTAAACGGTTTAGATACATTCTTGTAGAATTGTCGATATAATTGCCGCATTGGGGAAGTAGCTTTTTAATATTATCCGTAGTTTTTCCAATGAATTGTATAAACTAACAATTTTCGTTGTATAATTTTTGTTGATTTCTGGGTTACCTTAGAAACAATAGACAAATATGACTAATAATAATACTCAGCTCGGTAACGCTCGTCGTCAGCAACGATAAACCATTACTGCGTACAGATATAAATTAAATTACTCTATAAATCCTCCCTTACAACTTTCCTTCTGAAACAGTGACACGCCTATCAGCAGTATCGGCCTTTCTCACCTACCTATTATTTCGAATAAACATAATTAAACCATACGATTCAAATAGATTTATCTATAGATTATTTAATATTATTCAACTCCGATAACTTGTTTCCCTGCATTTATCTAGCCAAGACAAAAAATATAAGCAACATTTTTTGCGTCGTTAAGCTATCTATAACGATAACATACAACGCTGGTTACAATATAAAATGTATAAACGTTAAAAATGTACCTGCACCTAACCTAGGGTTTTTACAATTTTTTTATACATCTATTTCGATAATATCGACGGTTATTCAATAAATTCTGCATCATTATTTTCCTATATAGATGATTATCTCTCGGTTATCGTGATAAAATCATAATATGCAATATTGAATATATTACCGGTTTATGTAGGTATGTGGGTATATATATAACAGAATGAGACAAATTAATAAAGATCGAGAGTGCCGATACGAACGAGAGCGAGTGAGTGCGAGTGGCCAAGAACGAGAGAGGGAGAAACAGCAGGAAAAAAAAAATAAAGACCAGGGAAAGTAGTTTATAATATGTATACATCTAATTTCGGTGTTACAATAAATTGCACTCTGTACTTAAAACCCGGGTACTTTACACCCGGTATACCGACGAACGTATATAATTATTAGGTACCTATACCGACAAATATAAATGAACATTTATATTGAAATATATGGCAAGTTTTATGAGCGTGTAAACCAATGGTTCCCAACGTTTTTCACAGAGGTGAGCATTTATCCCAGGGCGCGAAATCTTCAGGTCGCAAAACGTACTGGTATACATATATCAGTATTTTTACCGGTGGATATACAACACGTTTGGACGCCTCGCAGATGTATAAGGCCGTTAGATTGACTGCCGAAAGGCGATTCGGAAATTTCTAACCTAACCTACGGTCATCATAAGACTTTTTTTCTATTCAATTTTAATTTATTCCGTCTACGGTTATTGAAAAAAAAAATATATATATATGTAAAATTAAACCATAAATGCATTGCAAGTTTGCCAATACACGATTTCAATGGAAATTTAAATCGTGTTTCGGGATACTAAAAAGGGCAAACCTCTTCGCGGTAACTCCTAGCCCCTAGGCAACGCGTATAGGCTCTAAACAATTTTAAAATTAACAAAAACAATATTTGGCTAACGTTGAAGAATATTACACGTGTTATTTTAGTAGGTGTTTTCTGCAATTGTTAAATGATATTCATTTGTACCCGCGAATGTGTTTTTTTTTTTTTTCTAGAGATATCGTGTGCGTCGGTTTACTCAAACGCGGCTCGTCCGATTCTCGGGGGCGTATTCGCGTATTTTCGTTATCAGTCACTCGTATAGATATTGCCCGTCTTTTATTTAATTGTTCGGTATCTCGGGGGATTTCAATTTGTGGTTTTCGATTATCGGGCTTATTCTGAACAGTTATTATTGTCCCGCCATTGTCGCCAGGGTCGACCACCATCGGTCCGACCCGGTCGCCGGTTGGGAACCACTGATGTAGACAAACATACATAATACCTATAATATTGGTATTAGGTACTAGGTCCTACATAGACAGTATTGGTGCATGTAAAAACGTGTATTTTTTTATTTTTTTTGTTTTTCAAATTAATTCGTTGCTCAATATTTATTCACGTGGACGGGTTTTTTTTTTTTTTTTTAACGAATAAACAAAATATGCACATAAACAGCGCGCTGTTCCGCCGTTCCGCGCGCGATTATTTTCGAATTTATAATCAAATTGACGATACCTACAGACTACGTCGTCGTCGCAATAATGGGCGGTACGTCACACTGTAGTAAAAAAACCGACACCGATTAAAAAAAAACAATATTGAAAATTTGTCTTGCCCGTATAAAACAAACTTAAGTAAATTGCCATAAAACGCGTTACGTAAATATAATCGTGGAATCGGTAAAAAAAATGAACTTCAATAATATTTTTGTTGCAGTCTTTATCGGCGAGGTTTGTGTGTTCTTACGTTTCATACATTTCTTTCGATATTTATCAAAGACAGTACCGTAGCCAGAAAAGTCTTATTTTTTTTTTGATGGGGGGGAGTATTAATCATTTTTAACATATTATTTTTAGAATGACACAAATACACCGAACATAAAAACCGAAATAACCAATAAACCTACCCGAGGTAAGGGCACGTGTCTTCAGCGCCACACCCTCCCTCCCGCCCTCCGATTATGGCAATTATTAAAGATACTGATAGGTATAGTATTTTTTCCTTTTTGAACACATAATTATACTTGTGACAAAATTATTGATAAACTATTTTTTTTTTTTGGTTGAATTTTTAAATCAAAAGAATAAAAAAAAAAAAAAACGGACATACTCTTTATACGATGGGTGGGCCGCTATTGTGGGTTAGAAGTTGGGAAGGTAGGATGTAAAGGGAAATTTAATTTATGTTTGTATATGACGATAAACCATTGCTAACGGAAAACGATTCGGAATGAAGTTTCTTATATACATACACGTACATTTTCCCGTTTTTCCCAATTATTTTGAAAACCGTTTGGGAAAAAAAAAATAAATGTACAACCCGGATAAACATTTTTTTTTCTGAAAAGGTACTACATTTGAAAACCGGAGCAAGATTTTTTTGTAGATAAGCTCTGAAATAAACATCGTTGTAAAACTATCGCGTTCCTCGCCACGCTTAAAATTTCAAAACGCATAACCTGTAAACCGATTATTGTCCAGCGTTGTCCACGTGTAAACGCATTGGGAATAATATTGTTGATCCCGACAGATACGGCAGTACTTAGTTGCGTACTCACTTTTAATCCTGACGACGGGTCACTTGTCTTCGCGGTGTGCGCACAACCCGATGAACGTACACCTATATTATATAAATACATTTATTTTTTTTAACGGTAATAAACATCAGAATTACGTTTGCGCGTGTACACGGGTTTTTTGACGGAATTCCGGGGGGGGGGGAAACAAACACCGTGCCTCTAAGTAAGTTGTAGGAGAAAAACTCGAAAAACGGAGAGCGAAAAAATGTTATTGAGGCGGATTGAAAACGGGCCGGTATAAAATACGAGTAATATCGAGTAATATTATATTACAGCCGAATCCGGAAATTTGCATTGACTTTAGGCCACGCATTAAATTCCCACGTCCGTCTGTTTTTTTCCGTCCGTGTTTTCGTAAGCCTTTTGAATATTAAACACGTTATAATAATACAGGTAGGTAGGTATTGTACCCATCCGCGTAAACCGTGTAGCGATCGAAATATCGTATTGTTTTTTTTTTTTAGTACAGTGAATCCTTAACCCGTAAACGACACAAATAAATTGTTATTTCATAGCTCGTGTGTTGTGTCTGGTTTTCGGTAACGAGCGCGCGCGCCTTTTTTTTTATTATTATTATTATTATTATTATTATTATTGTATTTTTATTACGTACTAAAATTCGAAAAATTAATCGATCGCTAAGGTATCCATTATGATATGCACACGTATGAAACCGAACGAACATTATACACGGCGGTCGAGGTAACGTTCGTTATCTCGGAAAATATCGACGTTTTAAGGAATTTGTTTTTTTTTTTTTTTTTTTATAAAATTCAATAAACGTGCTCTAAAACGTTTAAATTACCGTTATTTGTTATCGGCCTTATTTTCACAGGCGGCGAAACCATTATCCACGGGCGTGTAACATTTTAGAGCCGCTCGAGTCAAACACCAAAACCGAAAACAATATCCGAGAATAACGTTACTTCCCCGTGTTAATCGCGCGGTGAACGGAATAACATTGTCGACGTTAAACGTCTCGCGGATAACGTCCGCGTAATATTATGTGTTATTCTTTTGACGGTATCTCCCCGCGCGGAGCAACGTCGAAAAACAAAAACGAAATGCGCGGTATATATATATATTTTTTTTTTTTTTTTATAAATTAATTAATCGTCGTGTCGAACTTTGATTTTTTTTTTTTGTACTCGCAAAACGTAAGCTCTGATGAAATACCGTGGACCCGCTGTACAAACGGACGTGCTTGTATTAATTAAAAAAAAATAACGTCAGTTGAGATGTGAGATAGTGTATTGACAAAAAAAAACACAAAAAAAAAAAAAACCCCGATAGATCCCTCGTTACCTTCCGAATCTAAAAAAAAAAACACGTTAATTATTATAATTGGATAACATGACGCGGAAAAAAATCCGCTCGTTTCGAAACAATTTTTTTTTTTTCTCTCGGTTATGGAATACCAAGAAGTTGTATACGGAAAAAATCGGATATTTCCGGCGGAGGATTCAACACGTCACATACAGAACAGATTGTTTTTTTTCCTCGGCACAATATAAATTCAAATTAATACCCGATATCGCAACAACTCAGTTTTTGAAATATTTATTTCGCTTTTATTATTATTTTTTTTTTTTCTAGACATTTAGATTGTTTACTCGTTTATTTTTTACTTTTTTTTTTCTTATGCATTTCGAGGGTATTTAGTTTAGATTCTTAATGAAACCAATGTGCTGTATTAAAGTTGTTCAAAGATCCATGTGCGTGTGTGTATTTTATTTCGGAAAACACTTTTACGATTATTTAAAACGCTCCGATTTTTTTCTCTCGCAGTAGGCACCCCAAAATGTGCCAAATTTTTGCCCGTCGGTAATTTTATTTTAAACTCTTATCGAAATTTTCAGCAGTTCGTTCCCGAGGTCTTTTTTTGTTTTATATTTTCGTCATTTTCTACCCTCCAGATGACCTCGGCAACAATTAAAGGAAACACAAGACTAATAATATTCCACTCATATTCGTTTTTTTCGCTTACGTTATTTATTCTTGTATACAGAACAATATCAACCGAATTACCATGTAAATAATATCTCACCTGTACACTTACAACAATGGCCGCCTACACGTGAACGGTATCGATTTTTTTCTTAAAATTTAAATTTATATTGTTCACCAACATATAATAATAATATATTTAAAACATTTTTTACACTCGTAGGTATTTTTATATGATGTATAACACATTGTATGTACTAAATTATACATTTTTTTTTTGTGGCAGGAGGAGATTTATATGATGATTTATTTACAAAGGTTTTTTTAGCGCAATTTAATTCACAGCTCTAAAATGTGTACCTATCTGTTCTTATTTCACACGTATACGACACAAATAATATCATTAAAAAAAAAAAAAAAAAACTACGGATACATCATAATTAGTTTAGGTACTACATCGTCGTCGTACAAAACACACAGAAACAAAAAAAAGAGAGTGAAAACCGACTACGGCCTTGCTTCAGGTTATTTCTGCGTTTACCACGAGTACCGCCTCGAAAAAACCGCCGCTGACGTACGTCACGTGCGCTCTACCGGTGAATCGACGACGTCACAAAACCGACGCGTTCCACGCGGACGACGATGGCGGTGTACCGATCACGATACGAAAGAGTGGCGGTAAAAATAATAAATATCGTTCGTCGCTCGTTGCAATAAAATAGTTTTTTTTTTTTTTCTTCGAATATAGGATTTCCTTATAATAGACGAATTGTCACGTTGTGGAACAGCGTTTGACTCCCATGCAAAATCAGTAGGAGGGGTTACCGAAAAATGCACGTTCCTCGGGAACTTGGCACGTCTCTAAGCTCGCCTTGTTTCCCGTTCTATAATCTAAAAAATATAAAGTTTAAACCGCGGAAAATCATTTCCGTGTACCGATGTATAAATCAGTGGCATCCTCAATTAGAAAGTTCATCAAATTCCGAATTTCACAACTTAGAGGTCGCAGTTTTTAAATTTTTTTTTTAACTAAAAAACTACGTAATACACTCGTATAGTTTTCCCGTATCGGAAATCAATATAAAACAAATTGTATTATGGAAAAAAAAAAAAGAAAAAAAAAAGGACGGACATACTTCGCACGTAAATGGACCGATGTTGTAGGTGAGAAGTGTGTGAAGACAATAGAGGGGAAATTTAATATATATCTGTACGTAACGATTAACCATTGCTAATGAAAAAAACGATTCTGAACGAAGTTCGGTTGACAGTGTTGCCTTGTCAACAATATGCATGTCACTTAATGGTAAAATAATTGCATACGCATTATATATTATTTTCTTTAGTAATATCTGTTTTAATATCGGTACCTATTTTCCCGTTTTCCTACGTTTTTTCCCGGTTTTTCCCATTCGTTATAAAAACCCAGCTGGGGAAATCGAAAAAAAAAACGATCCCCTCAAAGTGCCCTCCCAGTCAGATTTCCGTTCGGAAAGTGTGCCGCAGTTGTAAACCGGAGCGAAATCGCCGGTAGAAATGTCGTTGGCCGTGGCCGTTGCCCGTCACCGCGTTCAGCGGGGTCCGCCGATAACCCGGAGCAGTGGCGCCGGCGCTCGACGTTAACCATCGGCCGTCGGTCCGACTTTGAGAAAAAAAAAAAACAACAAAAAAATCAAGCACGGGGCCGCGAGAATAAAACCTATACCGTGGCCATAACGTCGGACGCAAAATGGGCCGTGTTCGGCGATCGCAGTGGCTCTCGAAACGTATTCCGTCCGAATCGGGTACATTTTCGGGACCTCGGCGCCGCAAACCAAGTGTGTACACCTAACCTAACCTAACCTAACCTAACCTAAACTTGTACCAAAGTAGTGTTTTCCGTTTTCGTAACGCCGCCGATTGTAATACGCCACAACGTTAATCGCGTGCGATACAACCAACGGCAATTATCTAGAGACGGGGTCCTGTATAAAACGGGACGGAAAATCGAAAATTCGCTTTTCGAACCGCCCGTGAACCGATTCGGATACACCGCATGTCGTAACAACGTTATCGCCCGGGATTACAAAATATCAGATAAAAACAAACAAGTTTGATGGCCGCGCGTCTGCGGGCAACGACACAAACTGTTGTCGGTGAAAAACGATTCCGGCAAAATCGTTAACAGTCATTTTTTTTTCCCCCCTCGTTGTCTCGAGTGTTTAATCCGCGAAAATCCGCGAACGTTCTACAGCGAGTCGCCAGTTTCCCCGTTTATTCAGAAAGTTTTCTTGTTTTATCCGTGCGGTTACGAGGATAATAAAAAAAAAAAATCACCTCTCTAACGCGTTAAATGTACGTACAAATGCTACGAGAAAGTTCTCGCTAAGTTTTCGATTGCTACGTGATTTCGGGGTTAAGAGTTATGCGCGCGAAAACAATAAAAAATAATAACAATAATATACAAATCGCTTTAAAAAATCTAAAACGAAACGCGTGATCGTAAAACCAGTAGATTCAATACGATTTACTCGCCGCAATATTGTTTACAATATTAAACGCGTTTACGGACGACGCGGTTTTCAACGATTATTTTTAGCGGAGAGTCCGATTCGGCGAAAACCGTTCACTGCATTATGGACTTTTTAAAGGGGGGGGGGAGGCGTTGGGGGCGGAAACGATATTAAAATAACGAAATTGCGCGGTTTACATTCGACCGCGCGCCATTGACGTTTTGCAATGATAGCGCCGATAACGCCGCAGGTTGCGCACCTCGGAAAAATCGCCGCCACACCGTCGCATTGAACAAACGCCGAGAAATCGTTTTAGACGGTCGGCCGATTTCGAAACCGAATACGAATAAAAGAACCTAAAAACGATTTACCACCGCGTTCGCGCGTCGCGTTTTCACGTCGCCACGTGAAACGACGCGCACACGGGGGGGGGGGAGTTCGTTGTGCACACACCGGCAGACCAATACGCCCGAGTGCAACGCGCACAAACAGTCGACAACAACGACGGCAATAACGGCGGGAATGAAAACCGGACGGCCACCTGTCGCTGAGCCGCCGCCCGCGTTTCGTTACGCGCGGCGCCGACGCAAAGCACTCGGTTATCGCCGAAAACCAATTGATTTTCGTTCGTGATTCGTTGTATTTTTTTTTTTTTTTTTCTTAAAACGTTTACTAATTAACGTTATATTTCCAATGAAAACTGCGGTTTAAAAATATCCGTCCGGACGATTTTTGACCGTTCGTCTCGGAGAATTAGTTTTTAATTTTTTCAACTAGATAAGATAGACACACGTCGGTATGCGTCCGTACATAACCGAAAACGGGCAGTGGTTTCGCGGGGGAAAAAAAAATCATCGCGATAACGTGACAACAGACATTATCGCGGCGCCAAATCGTCAAACAAAACCGCGAAAACAAAACGGATCGCGGAATAAATTCAATCGGCCCTCCCGGAAAAATCGCGCGTCTCGCGCCGCGTCGACCGCTCTGTCGAGTCGACGACGACGACAACAACAACAACAACGACGACGACGACGACGACGATAACAATAATAGAAAAAAACAAACACAACGTCCAA